CATCAACATAGCTGGCTGTTACATCAGTTAGTGCATAAGCGATGACACAGCGACGATTTGGCTCGGATTGCGATGTATGTTTCGCCCCTCCCAGACTCCTCAGTCATTCATGAACGTCTTCAGGTGAAGCTTGATGTAGTAGGATTAAGACACCTACGCAGCATCATTATGGAAGAGAAATTACCTGGCGAAATGGTGGTGAGTACACGCCTGCCCCTGCAGCACTCTCTAAGCTACAACGGTCTGTCAACCATTGTAGCTTAGAGAGCTTTGAGTGGGTATGCGTGTATTTACCACCATTTCGCCAGGTAATTTCTCTTCCATAATGATGCTGCGTAGGAGTCTTAATCCTACTACATCAAGCTTCACCTGAAGACGTTCATGAATGACTGAGGAGTCTGGGAGGGGCGAAACATACATCGCAATCCGAGCCAAATCGTCGCTGTGTCATCGCTTATGCACTAACTGATGTAACAGCCAGCTATGTTGATGTCACCAGCCATGCATCGACTAGGTGCCATGTTTGATGTTCCTGGTCACTGCGGAACCATGCCACCATCATCGTCATTCAGCATGTCGTCCGAATCCGACAGCGCTACATGGTGTGCTGAGGCTGGTGAGAGCTCAAGGAGACGCAGCAGATTCGCTTTCAGCTCGGCGATGGAGAATGGCTTGCCGGCTTTCGAGAAGGCAAACAGTGTGTGCGGCGCTTGCTGGACGAGGATTTTCTTCCTGAACTTCAGCTGACACTTCAGAGCGTCTACCTTCGCCTTGTTTGTAGGAAGCTCAGCCAGTCCCTCAGCTATTCCATCTCCGGTCGTCCAGAGCCCACCAGGAATCCTGGCAAGCTGCTGTGTGATGGTCTCCGCCTCCGCCACTCGCCGTTGCTCTCTCTGCTGGTGGGCCTGCTGCTTGGCTTGCACAGTCTTCAGTCGATACTCGTTGATGGCAGACAGCCTGGCTTTCTGGAGCCTCTTGTGTTCTGGAACCAGCTGCCTGGCAACTTCGAGTATCGCTGATTGCTCCTCTGGTGTGCGGAAGCTCAACCAATCGAGGGGGCGATTGTTCGCGAGCATAATCTGTGCCTCGATAGCCAGCATGGAAGCATTCGGCTTGCTCCTCAGCAGACGGTCTAGCTGGCCGAAGTCCCGCTCGGACACGACGTTGGTTTTCGGGACTGTTGCAGTCTGCTCTGGATCCGGTGCACCCTGCTCATACTGCACTTCCCATACTCTGTGGAGATACGTGTGCCATGCTACGGCGAGCAGCTGCAACAGTCCCTTGACCAAAGCGTCGTCTTGCGTTGGCTCTAGCAGCTTGTCGAGAACAACGTCCGGCTGTGTTATAGTGGCTGCTGCAAATGGCTTCGCAGTGCCGTCAACGAGCTCACTTGCATCCTCCGACCATCTTGCCAGTTGCGTCTCGACTTCCTGGTACACACTGTGGACAGAGGTGAACGGTGCATCGGATTCCAGGAATCGCCACATCGGAGCAGTGACGAATTTGCCGAAAAGCCCTACAGCCCGGCAGCCAGTGACAAATCGTGGGTCGAGGAGGTCCTCTTTTACAGCAGCAAGCAACCGGTTGCCACAACTAAATGCCAGGTAAGCAGTCATTGTCTCAGCAAGGAAGTAGATTCCAGCAGCGTTGTGGAAAATGATGTTAAACCTGTTGCCCCTGAATTTGGCAAGCGGGATGTGAGTGAGCCCGTTGGTAGTGGCAAAGGCTTGGAAGCCAGCAGCTTCTCCAACTTGCTCACTCCCATGGCGCTCGAATGCCTTACACGCAGTTCTGATCAGGCGGTACGTGCCACATTCGTTTGGCTGGTTTGCGCCTGGGCAACTTGCCGAACTCCCACTCTGTGTTGCCTCCCACTCCTTAATCACGGCACCAGAGTGATCTGCCAGGTTGACCAGTAGATGTAGGCCGCAGAAGAAGTTATTGAGTTTACACGTTTCTTTCTTCTGGGTTTCGGTGAGGGTGTCCCAATCCTGCTGTATCACGGGCAGCACCGAAGAACGGTATTCCTGAGGCATGACAGAAAATCAAACGAACAGGAGTGGTCAACATCACATGACCATTGCCTTCTATATTGGATACTTCATGCTTCATAGTAGGCTCATAAGGAAGGGTAGACAGATAAACACTGTGTGTGTGTCTGTGTGTGTCTGTGCATGTGTGTGTGCGTGCGCGTGTGTCTATATGTATGTGTGTCTGTACCTGTGTGTGTGTATGTGTGCGTGTGTGTGTGTGTGTGTGTTTGTACATGTGTTTGGCAACAATAATACTTTGCTGTGCAGATTGCATTTTAATATGAAAAGAAAAGTGGAACAATTGTGTAGACATACCTGAAGCATGTTGTTGAATTTTGTGTTCACTGCAGCTCTGTCAGACATCGTGTTTTTGAGGGCAGCGATCAGACGGTTACCGGACTGTGCATCACCGAGCTTCTCGCCTGCGGCTCCCAACTGGCCAATAGTGTGGTGCAGTAGTTCCATGGTGTGCTCAGCGCTGCCGGACAGTGCCTCAGACACGGCCAGCGTGAACTGCCCGTCATCAGTTGTCAGCTGAAAGCTTCCATACTTGTGACCATGCTTGGTTGTACCGTCAAAGTGCAGCGTGTTGTCTGACCCTGCAAGATGGCCAATGTGCAGTAGACCGACTGCTCGGCCTTCTAGCAACATTGTCCTAACCGATGTCGCACTGGGTGTACTTGATGGCGTTTTACCGGCCAGAGACAGGACCTCCTTCATGACCGGCCCGACGTGGTGTATGCCGACATTGTGAGTGAGTAAGTTGATACAACATGTTCTCACTCCGTCTGTGTAGCGCCCGTTGTGCATCGTCTCCAGCACTGTCGGGTCATCTTCATTGTCGTCATGTATGTTGTCATCATTGTCTGCCAGTCCTTCCTCTAGCTGATTCACCTCTTGCATAAGCTTTGCTGCTTCTTCCTGTGCCGTTTCTAATGCATTTTCGGTTCTTACAGAGGATTGCACTGCTACCGCTGCTTTTCTCTGCCAGTAGGTGCTCATTCGCTTCGCATTGCGCAAATGCTGAGCAAGCTCAATCTGCTTCTCCTTCAAACTCACTAAATCCTTACTCGTGTCCTCCAACTTTGCTATCAAATCTTGCGTTTCTTGCTCTCTCTCTTCCTGCTGCTCTTGGTGAATGCGTAGTTGTTCGGCTGCGTCTTCCAGTGCGTGCTCCCGCCGACGTAAACGCTTTGTTATGTTGCGCGTCCTGTTGTAACTAGACAATATTCGTTGCTGCAGGTCATCCCACTGCTTGCTGTCTCCGACATGGTCATTGTGGAGCTCTTGTGTGGCGGCTTGCGTGATGGATGCGGGTTGTTCAACTTGTTGTGAATCTTGCTCTTGACATGACGTAGAGCTGCGGCGGCCAGGCAGTTCAAAATCTTCCTTCAGGAACCGCTCAAGCGTGTCCTTTCCACCTGGTTTTCCGATATTTTTTTGTAACGCAATTTTCTTTTTTACGACCCGGGTGACTCTGCTCAAAACAGCCTTGCTGTCTGGCGGTGACTCTTCTGGCCAATCTCGACCGTAGAGCATTCGGACCCACTCAAACACTTCGGTCAGATTTTTTGAATTTTTTTCCTGTGCACATTTTAAATCAATGGCCATTTCATTTGAAAATTGTCTAACTCTCCCTACTCTGCTGCCACTGAGCAGAGCCTTTAGAGTTGCAGAGTTCATTTTGCTCCCACGAAGATCTACACACATACAATACACCCTTTTCAAAATTCTTTCCTCGTCTTCTTCAAAATGACTTCCAAATTTCACGTGGTGCTGGTTTTGTTCTCTTCCTCGAGGCAGAATGCAGCTGCATGCGATGCTCCTGCATGTTCCTGCATGTTCTCCTCTCGGGACTAGACGTTTTGGCGGCCAGACTCAGCTAGACTGGAGGAGACGATGCTTGCTATACATATGCAAAATCAATGAAATTTGGTAATTATCGTCGGGCGCTAAAAAGCGCTGGGGAGCATTGGGCTGAAACTTCGTAGCAGCCATCCCTATAATGATAGACATCGACTGGTATATGTTCCATTCTGTTCCCTTCCACGACGGGTCGTCTGCGAAGCTTTCTTCTTCGCCAATTGTCAGACAGATCGTACGTCTTCGCAATGTATCTCCAGTCTCCCTCAACGGATCAAAACACGGTTTTCGCCAGGGAGCAGACAAAATCCCTGACTACGCGGTGGTAACATCTTTCAGTAGGGAAAGCCCAGCAACTAACCATGAATCACCAATAAGCACGTGCAATACGCAATGTGATTTGCGACGACTGTCATTGTGCCATCGCACCATGCATTGACCATCTCTGTAGTAGATGCACGTGAAAGGGTGGCAGCGTCTACGTATTCGGTTGGTACCGAGTGGTTAGTGGCACTCCCGGGGCTCGCAGTTGCTGACTTTTGAGCTCCCCCATCTCTTCCCGCGATCGTGACAATTGGGCTTCGAAGTTTTCTTGCGAAGACTTACTTGTTTCAATAACATTTCGTAGTTCCGAAATCTCATTTGAAAGCGCTCGGACTACGTCTAACAGTTCTGATACAATTGGCACCATACCGGTTTCAGATGGCGCTCCTCTGGCTGGTGCGCTGGCTCCCTGGCCCTGCTTACGGAGAGCGAACACGAGGTCCGCCCTGGATAGATCATCCCATCCTGGACCTGGAATTCGGGCGTCCTTGGCTACCTGCTGCAACACATTGAACTCGATCAGGGCTAGGTCTAGGGTTGAGTCAGCCATAGCTGTGCTTCCTTGGTCAGTGCTCGACAAACAAAACAAAAGTAAGGAGCCGATTGGCAGAGCAACAAAATTGCTTCCACCTTCTACCACACCAAAAAAAAAGGATTACAGGGTTTTCTAGGGTTCGACAGGTCATGGTACAAAGGTCATGTACTTTTCTTGCACCTTGCACCGCATGCATTGCCCTTGCACATTGCATATTGCTTTGCTTTGCTCTTCATAGGTCTGGCCTTCCTGCAGCGTTGCGCTGGATGTTCTTGAAGCGGATTGTACGATTCTTCATTTCCTTCGTTCTGCATCGTAGATTTACTGTTGTCAACAAAGTTCAACCAAACCTATCTATTTCGCCAGCTACATGTAACCAATTGCGTCCCAACACGAACTTGGGCTATCGAAGGAGCGGCCGCTGTGCTATATTTCCTCTGAGAACGGTGGAGCTTCAAACTGGAAAGAGAACTTCTTCAGCACCGCAAGACTGAAACGGCAGCTCAACAAAATGCCGTCTACAGCAGTAGCCATGCGAACGCAGCAAAAGGTGGAAATGGTAAGAAACTGGCGCTAAATGCATTGTCACTTCATAGTTGTCATTGCCTGGCTCTGGTACTACAGAAGACAGCAGTTGAACTTCAAAACAAAAGTGTAGCCCAGGGCCAGAAGCCTGCTGAGTTGACACAGAACATGCAACTGCAAGGGCCGAGTGACAAGCTAGACTAATATTATTATTATTGCAATAATGGTGGAAGGCTTCACATGCAACTCTCTGTATACATGTACCGTGTATGTACGAGACAGGCTTTTACACAAGACACTACAGTAACTGTCCACCACTGAAACTAGATAATAAGCCGTCGGAGAGTATGATAACTCGTACATTGATTCAGTACTGTAAGACATGTTATTATAACGAGTCGCAAATTTAACGATTGTCCAAAATTCATAGGTTAACGAGAAGATATATTAAAGGGGAAGTATACCCTAAAATCAAATTTTCACCAGTTGTAGTCTTCGGGGTGCTGAGTCGAATGGTCTTGGTCCGAGGAAGCTGAGGCGCTCCCTTCCTACTTGAATCCCAATCGAACTCGCGCACTTCCACCGAAACTGGGTGACTGCGCCCTACTAGATGGGGATTTGTATGCAAAATGTCACTAAAAGCGCCATTTCGTTCTTATAAAAGCACGGATGACCGCGATTGGCCCATATGTTGTAGTCTTTTGGACGCTGAGTCGACTGGTTTTGGTCCGAAAAGGCTGCGATGCAGCGTTCCTCCTTTATTCCCAATCGAACATGGTTGAACAAGCGGTCACGTGCTCCTGCGTACACCAGTCACCTGGTCACCGTGCCTGCAGGGTACAACTTACTAGCCTGTTTGACCTTTTTTGGGTGCAGTCCTGTCACTCGAGTTGAACTCGAGTTGAACCTTGGTGTGAAAGTTGTCGCCTGCTGGCGCGGTGACCAGGTGATTTGGGCACCCAGGAGCACGTGACCGCTTGTTCAACCATGTTCGATTGGGAATAAAGGAGGAACGCTGCATCACAGCCTTTTCGGACCAAAACCAGTCGACTCAGCGTCCAAAAGACTACAACATATGGGCCAATCGCGGTCATCCGTGCTTTTATAAGAACGAAATGGCGCTTTTAGTGACATTTTGCATACAAATCCCCATCTAGTAGGGCGCAGTCACCCAGTTTCGGTGGAAGTGCGCGAGTTCGATTGGGATTCAAGTAGGAAGGGAGCGTCGCAGCTTCTTCGGACCAAGACCATTCGACTCAGCACCCAGAAGACTACAACTGGTGAAAATTTGATTTTAGGGTATACTTCCCCTTTAACGATCTTGCAGTATTCTGCCATATCCACACACAGCATATATGAAGCAGTACGGCCTCAACGGATCTTATTATAACGAAGAAATGTCATCCGTTAAAACGTTAGATTTGCTTCCTCGTTATATATACAGGTCTTACAGTATCCGAGTTTAGTTTCAACTATCATCATATTGACATCATCATATTGACATAAAAGTACAATAACAAGCACAGTCGGACCTCTTTAGGACGAACACCAAGGGACCGACGTTATTTGTTCGCAATAACGGGAGTTCTTCTTATCCATATGTCTTACCCAGTGAATACACAGTGATGAATCCAATAGCACTTGGAATTCTAGTTCTTCTTAAAGGGGAAGTTAAGGCAAAAATTAAAATTTCACCAGTTGTAGTCTTCGGGGTGCTGAGTCGAATGGTCGTGGTCCGAGGAAGCTGAGGCGCTTCCTTCCTACTTGAATCCCAATCGAACTCGCGCACTTCCACCGAAACTGGGTGACTGCGCCCTACTAGATGGGGATTTGTATGCAAAATGTCACTAAAAGCGCCGTTTCGTTCTTATAAAAGCACGGGTGATCGCGATTGGCCCATATGTTGTAGTCTTTTGGACGCTGAGTCGACTGGTTTTGGTCCGAAAAGGCTGCGATGCAGCGTTCCTCCTTTAATCCCAATCGAACATGGTTGAACAAGTGGTCACGTGCTCCTGGATGCCCAAATCACCTCGTCGCCACGCCAGCAGGCGACAACTTTCACACCAAGGTTCAACTCGAGTTCAACTCGAGTGACAGGACTGCACCCAAAAAAGGTCAAACAGGCTAGTAAATTCGTTGTACCCTGCAGGCACGGTGACCAGCTGACTGGTGTACGCAGGAGCACGTGACCGCTTGTTCAACCATGTTCGATTGGGAATAAAGGAGGAACGCTGCATCGCAGCCTTTTCGGACCAAAACCAGTCGACTCAGCGTCCAAAAGACTAGAACATATGGGCCAATCGCGGTCATCCGTGCTTTTATAAGAACGAAACGGCGCTTTTAGTGACATTTTGCATACAAATTCCCATCTAGTAGGGCGCAGTCACCCAGTTTCGGTGGAAGTGCGCGAGTTCGATTGGGATTCAAGTAGGAAGGGAGCGTCTCAGCTTTCTCGGACCAAGACCATTCGACTCAGCACCCCGAAGACTACAACTGGTGAAATTTTAATTTTTGCCTTAACTTCCCCTTTAAGCGAAAGTTTGTCTTATCAGTGTTCTTCTTAACGAGGTTTCACTGTAGTTCCAAGTTGGTTGGAAGGTTGTTGGTTTGCGCCTCGTAATGTTATACTAATAATAATGTGTTGGAGCCAGTGGTCAGGTCGTTGAATGTCACAGTACCCCCTGTCAGTTTTGTGTCTTCTTCTTGGCCTACACTCTGACTGTATGATCCAGTTAATACAATCTAAAAAAAGTTCATTATTGTGTCAGCTCTCTGACAACGGCTGCTAACACCCGGTAAACCCATTACATAGTTACATTGGTGGACGACTACAATGTAGTCATAGCTCGTAACGTGTTTTCCTTCCTCTTATCCATCTTTTATTGTACGTTGCTGTTAGCTGTTCTGTGAAAAAAATCATTGAACAGCTAGTGATTGCCTCGCAAAATGGGGGTTGTCACTTTGATACTCTTTACGGCATTATTTCAATACCATTTTGATTGGCCCTATTTATAATATTCTTGTTCACAGTGGGAGCCAATGCAACAGTGCAAATCAATTACTGGTGAGTCTGTTGTCCGCTCGTCCTTTGTAAATCTACGTAGCTTGTGATCATCTGTACAGTGTTTCTTTCTTTACCCTCTGATGGCAAAAGCCATTATAAACGGCAGGGGCATTGGCCAGCCATTGCAGCAACATGAGAAAAATAGATTTGTGAGTGTCAAGGTTCTTTTTCACTCAATGAGAAAAATAGATATATTGATACACAAGAGGCAGCAGCAGGCATCGAATATGGAGAAACGTCTGGGTATAAACCCAACTCAAAACATACATCCACCCTCCGTGCAGATCTACATGCACTTGCGAGGTAAACAAACACGGTTTCATTCATGATAGAGACGCATGTCCTTGCATGCGTCCAGGCTTTTACACGAGTGGTACTACGAAGTAGTGCAGTGGCTCATGCATGGTGCACCTATGCTTTGCAGGTCATTACACTTAGTCAACTGGCCAACAATTGAATGTATCAAAACATCAAACATCCAAGCTACTATTGAAGCCTTCTGACACTCACCTACAAGAATGACAGTGGTGTCGCCTGGCACTTCGAGGAGCAACCAGCAGACTGACCGCTTCAGTGTTATCACCTGAAGCGGCAAATGATACGATTACTTATCTAGAGCTATGTTGTCTGTGGACCCCCGGTGCTTCTCTCTCCCTCCCTCACATAACAGTGTGTAAGGCGAGTGATAGTTAACCATTAGCACTAAATGGCATTACGAGTCTTTCTATGCTGCATACATTGGTCTGTTCTGTCTTCTTTATCTTTATTGGTTCCCAAGTCACCGGTCTATTCATGAGAACGGGTTAGTCGGAAAGATCCAGGATTTTTCTACATGAAAGGGATTAGAAAATGAAGTGTCTGTCATTTCCAATTCAAGGGAACCAAAACGTTTGGAAGTGTTGGATTCCATTGGTGGGATTGTGAGGTATCATGCACCTTGCACTCTGCATAACTTTTCGTGAGTAGATCGTGTCTAACATAAAACTACTTCAAAAATGGGAAGTAACCAATTCCCTTGTGTATTATGTCTACCAAAGCATTCGATGTGTGTGTGTGTGTGTGTGTGTGTGTGTGTGTGTGTGTGTGTGTGTGTGTGTGTGTGCGTGTGCGTGCGTGTGCGTGCGTGCTTGCGTGCGTAATGCATGTCCACAAGCTCCTTTTTTTCTCCAATACTCTTTCTGTGAGTACAGAAACACACTCGAGGTTGTTTGTCAAGAAGCTTCTTGCTGTTGCTGTAAGTTTGTGTGAGTAGATGGGATGTATTGCCATTGTCATCTACTGCCCAAATACTAATACAGTACTAATAGACCATGTCGGAAAACGTTAAGTCAGAACAGTAATGGTGAAAATGAGCATGATCAATTGATTGCTGGATGCAGCAGAGCCGGCACACTGTGAAACGAAAGTAATCAACCATGATGCAACCCATGCGTGTGCTCTGTTTTCCTCTACAATTGTACCTATGTCCTGGCTGTGCAGATCTCCAACATCGTTTACTTGAGGTGAGCAATGTCAAATGCCGGGATCGGGAACAGGCTCTTACAGCTTCATTCGGTACCTCAAACCAGCTGCATGCTGTAGGAGACATTCAACTCTTTTCCATGGCATTCCACAGCCTGATTCTGAAGTAAAAATACTACTCACCGGTCCCAGAAAGGTGCCCGGTAGAGTGAAGTGACTTCCTTATCTTTATTGATTCCCGAGTGTCCACTCAATCCATACTGTTGCCAGCCGCATATACGTGTACATTCTGAAAAGAGTCCTACATGCAGGATCACCTTACTATGTACTTTGTTTGTCCGTGCGTGTGTGCGTGTGCGTATGTGTGTGTGTGTGCACGCGCACCCACCCGCGTGTGATCTACACATTACAGAAACATCTTCCCAGAGAACGCATTTGGTGACCGGTACCTTGAGGACATCAATTTGAAGATATTGAGGGATGACAACACTTGCAAAGGAGCAGTGCAGGTGATTGAGTGGGTGAAAGGTTGCTTCGATGCCTTGGATCGCAAGCACCTCAAAGCCGTCATCCTGGCCATCTACAAGGATGCCAACGACATGGAAAACGCTATCGAGTCGTACACGTTCCGCTTTGGCTACGACAGTCTGGATGTTACTCGCAAAGAAGGCGGTGATAGCAAACAGGAAAAGTCCTTGTTACATGCAACAACAGCAGAAGAGGTGAAGAAGGCTACAGTCCGCCTGCTCCGCACACTTATTGTTCTCTCACAGACCCTTGATGGCCTGCCAAGTGAGGTCCTGATGACTATGAAACTGCAGTACCTTGACACTGTGCCCGAGGATTACGACCCACCGGGATTCAAATCATGCGAGCAGTCAGCTGTCGTAGTTGATGGCAACCCACCAGCCATAAATGTTGGCGGCATTTCCACCGAGTACCACAGCGTAAAGCTACGCATCAAGACCAGCTGTCACCAGTACGCAGACTTAGATCATCCAACCGAGTCACAGAAGGAAAATGTCATCGATGCAGCTGACGTTGTGGTGGACGAACAACCACCTAACATTCCAGACCCACAACTTGATACTCCACCACCGTCAGCTCCTAACTCTGTGCATGGAGAAGAGCAACACATTGAAGAAGAAGATGACGATGAAGTCGAGAACGCCAATGCCCCTACCAACAAAGAAGAACCACATGCAGCTGTGAACGAGCAGAGTGAGTGCATGGAAGTTGAAGAACAGGAGCAAGTGCGGTGTCCATGCGGTGACAACCAGGACGACGGTCTGATGATCAAGTGCGAAGTGTGTAGTCACTGGCAGCATGGAGTTTGCTTCGGTTTCCTGTGCAATGATGATGTGCCCGAGCAGCATTTCTGTGATCAGTGCTGCGTTGATGGCAGTACTGAGCGGCCGCCGTCCGATCCCATCCTTTGCTTCTTGAATCCAATCACACTGCAAGCAACTTGTCTCTGGAGACGTGGTCTAATGGCATGCTCCGAATCCAATCGTATCCTGGTCCCTGGTTTCGCCAGGAGACTTGGCGTTGAGATAAACGTCGCGCAAGGAATCGTGCATCGACTGGAGAGGGAGGGCTACATCACTACTCCCACACGAGGCAAACGCCTTGGCAAAGTTGTCAACAAGGACAAGATCAGAACTGAGGGCATCAACAAGTATTTCGATCGCTCTCTTCTGAGACCACTGGATGGTTCGTGTGAGCCAGCAAAAACAGCAGACGAACCAGCAGCAGCAATAGCACCAGCAACACAATCTGACGACATGGACAAGGTTACAGTCAGCGCTGCCAACTTGGCTATAGACAATTCCAAACCGCAGTCGCCATGCCGTTCAACCAGCCGTGGCAAGACCAAACAGAGACAACAGGCTGATGACATGGATTATGCAAGCAGTCAAGAAGTCAACGGAAACTCGCCAAAGCGCCGATGTCGTCGCGGAAGCATTGCAAAGAAAGCAATCCGCTTGTGAAAAACACATTTGCTACAGAAAGCTGCCTAGAACACATTTGTACAGTTTCTTTTCTTTCCTGCTGCACAGTCTGCTGCAACATAATTACCCACTAGTGCATGCAAATACAGACATGTAGATGTTTTAAGCATCGCAATATTTATCTTCCAAAGTATCAGAGATATTCCAAACGCTATTGTTCCAAGAATAGAGCAGCATCATTATTCTATGACCAGCATAAATAATTCAGTGTCCTTACAAAGTAGTCTGCACCTACCAGCAGGCATACCAGCATGAAACCTATGGACTATTCTCATTCATTGTACATCAAACTATGTGCACATGTTTAGAACGGGAAGGTGCCCAGCAGTGTAGGGACCATAAATAAAAAGTCAAGTGTGCAATGAAGGGCGCACCAAATCGAATATGCCAGGAGTGTCACGAATCATAGGGTAAGAAAGTGTCAGATTACCTATAAAAAAAAACTACTACAGTCCATTTCAAAACTATAGACGCGTACCTAGGCAAAAACCGTTATGCCAGCATCTATACCACATAAAATCTGTGATCACTTTGTGCATAATTTTTTTCCAAATTGGGCGTCTGTTATCCAATCGTTTAGAGACTATATGAGAGTAATTGTGGAGCGATCCTGAGCAATATTCCGAAAACTATTCTCAAAAGGTTCCAGCCAAATTTGAAATATTTCAAAAACCCTACGCGTCTATAGTTTTGAAATGGACTGTAAGTACACCTATTGGCTTTTCCTTTCCGGTGGCTTGCCGTATAATGCTATGGCCAGTATACATAACACGGCCAGGTAGATTGACAGGATGCACATGGCAGTCAAATTCGACACATAAATCGTTTTCATTGACATATTTACGATACCTGTGCCCAAGTTTGCAGCCAAGAAAAACAGCAGTTGGTTATGGCTGATGGCCGACAGCAAGACAGGAGGCGACGGGGACTCAACGTTTACAAGTTGACCTGCAGCAGTATTCGTTACAGCTGCTTGCTTCACGATTTGCGTTGGCAACATATAGCCGTACAACACATAAAAAGCTAGCAAGACGGATGTGCCAAGATGTACCTGCACACATGGACAAAGGGTCAAAGAAGTAAACACACGTTGCAGAACTGCCCAGTATCATAAGGCATGATTTCACCAGCTTCTTTATGTCACACTTATTAATTGATAATAATTACTTCTGAAGTAGGACATGAGTATACATGTACAGGATGCTACAGTTGGCAGTCCCTTGTCAGTCGTCATGTTCACTCATGGAGTTCAAAAGAATGCAGTCACATGTTTGCACCAAACCAATGACATGATTATTAGTGGGACATGGTCACTGGGTAACACTAGTAGCATTGGGTCACTAGTACCGTAAAGTACCGCGAGAGCGCCCCGTCTCGCGAGAGCGCCCCACCTTGATTTTACAACCAAGGGAAGAAAATCGTATGGCAGAATACTACTAAGTTGGTACGGTGTGAGAACCTTTTTGTACTAAGGTCACACTCGGCATGTTTTTATGTGGAGCTCGCCATCAGCTCTAAGGTAAACTGGGTACGGATTGACTCCACAACATGCAATGTGTGTACAAGGTTCGTGTCGTATGACCTACACACAGGAAACCACCTCCACAAGACGGCCACGAGAGGACGAGGTGGTGGGGCGCTCTGGCGGTACTTTACGGTAGTAGTACCTAGCCATCAAACACTGACTTGAGTTCAAGCAAACAGTATGCCATGGACTGACGTAAATGCATTAGCGCAAGCGTGTGCAGACGCGTCGTGTGCAGACATATTGCAAGTGAAGGCATGTGTATGTTGCATTTGTATGTAAAGCCATAACTGGTTCCAGGATACAGCTTTTAAAGGGCTCACCAAACAATGCTCAAACAACCATTACCTGCCAGAGGATAAAAGGCAAGTTAGCCATGCGCCTTGAGATAGGCTGCACGATTCCAGCCAGCGAGAGAGTTTCCAACAGCACAAGTGGTACAAGTGAGAACAAAAGTGAACACCGCATTCGTCTTTGGCCACTCCTGCAGGCACAGAGCAGAGTCACAGCCAAAGATACAACCTCATGACCAAGTACCAGTCAAATTTCCATTTTAAATGTCAGCACATATCAGTACACATAGCACACATAACAGTACACGTAGTGTTCACCATACCTCTGCACGCACGCACAAGCAAACTATACCGTAGAAACTAGTGACTGCCGGCTTTCGAAGCCTGTTACCTTCTGGCCGCACAGTGCTACCAATGTACTTATGTTGCAGTACAACGTGACTACGTGTAGTTGATTGTGGAGAACACCCACACACCCACCCACCCACCCCCCCCCCCCCCACACACACACATACACACACGCACAAACACATCTTGACCGTGCCCATTGCAAAGTAATGATAGCGCATCGTCATTTCTCCAGGCCATGAGAGAATTACTGGCAGCATTTCGGATCGCTGCTTCGACGAAACATGCAGCAACACGCACGCACACCCACACACATATCACACATGCACGGATGCATGCGCGCACACACGCATGAACACACACACACACACACGCACACACAATGTCCACATACATGCACACACAGCATACGTACCACAAGCACCTGCCCAGCTGCACCGACAAGCTGTACAGGGAGAAATAGCCCAGTGACGATAGGAGACCTTCTCGGTTGGCACTTATCCAGTCACCGCGAGCACCGTCACCCGCCCAGGAATGCTGAATAAACTCTGACCAGCCAGCGTTCTCCAGGAGAACTTGATACGTAATCCCAAGCAAGCCGCCAGTGATAAGAGGGGACCAGAAGCTGGTGGATGATGCAGTTGGTAGTGATGGTGCTTTGTTTTGCCACACCGCAGAAATCAGTAGGGTAAAAATCTGCACAAATACCACGGAGAGAAAAGTCGAATCAGCGTTCGGAGATTCAATGATGCACCATACATCAACATTATAATGTGTTGATGCGTGTTGCACATAATAATTATTCTGTTGACGTATGGTGGGCATAATCATGAATTTCCAAACACTGATTTCATTGATTGTTTTCATACGAGTATAGGCATGTAGGTGCATATGTCTAGCACTCCTTGCTAATCCACGCAAAAACAAAGTAAACAATTCCCGGCATGCACAAATGCATGTAGTACTGTGATGGCGTGGGCTTCTTTTCTGTCAACATACGTCGAAAAAGCCTCGTGATCAACAGTGTATTATAGAATTAAAAAGATCTCACAGTCATACGTAATAAGTTCTAATAACTGACCTTTAGTGCAGCCAGCGTGAAGAAAAAGTTCCAGTGCACGCCATACTCGCTCGTGTGCTCTTGGTAGGCTGCAGCTTTGGTGGTCAGGAGACGACCGCTGCCGAGAACCACAAGGGCCAGGAATGTCTTCCAGCCGTGCAGCAAACTCTCTCGCGGCTTCTGCCGCGCTTCGCGGGACACCAGCGCCATGGAGAACACATATTGGCCAACGCCCACGTCCATCAGGCCAGTGCCGAACGTCTCGACCTTGGCCAAGCGGCGCGGCCATACGGCGAAATCAACTCCCAGTATGGCCACGGCAGTTGCTATGTTGATGAAGGCACGCAGAGCGGTGACAGCTGATGCCAGAGGCCCACTAGTTGCGGAATGAGCTGAACTCAAACCGGTTGAGGTAAACACATTGGTAATGTGCAGAACAGGCAGCACCAAGAAAGGTACGCCAATCAGCCAGGACACGTCGGCGAAGTACGTAAACAGCAGCAGGATCGGGAAAGCCAGTGACAGAAACTGGATCACATGGTCTGACCTAGAGAAAAACAAAAAAAGCCAAGTAGCAGCAGAGTAGATTTAGCATACTCAACCAGTATTGTGTCAGCAGTCGGCTGAGATGAGACGAGATATGCACACATGCATGCACCTACGGTAGCTGCAAATAACGCATCCACACCGTCATGAAGATGTGTAGCACACATGTGGCAAATTACCTAGATCTCTATGCTGTTTAAAACTCGAACGTTGAGCCAATAATAAATGTAAGGAGGAAATGAACACATGGATACGAGTTATGTGTTACAGATTCAGCTTGTGCCTGACTGTCGCATTTTCTGACTGTATACTACCTAGTTACAGTGGTGGACAGTGACTCATAAACTCGTGTCCATGTCCTCCTTTCCTCTGTACATCTCCATGCTGGGCGGCAAAACACACGCAAAGTTGACAGGTGAAAAGTATTGTGCAAATAATAATTAGTGCCAGCCAGCCAGTCCGACAGTATTTTCCTTCCATTACTTGTAGTTTCCAGCGTCGAACACTAAATTGTCTAACCATACTTCCATAGTGCATTAGGGGCCATCCACGGTCACCAAGAGTACATAACCCCCCAAGAGTGTGCAACTCCACTATGGGTGCTGTCCCGACAGAATTTCAAGTTGACGTCATTTTGATGATGCAATGCGCACTGTACACGGATTATCAGACGGATCCGGAACCTGTGGTTGACCGAAGCCGATCGATCCTGTTCAAATTATTACAAAGAAAAACGTGTGATGCTTTGACACCCGTACACATGTTGTAAATCACTGGTGCAAGGAGCATTGCGTCATAAATAATGACGTCAACTTGAAATTCTGTCGGGACAGCAGGGTATGTGGGAGTTGCACACTCTGGGGGGTTATGTACTCTTGACGGTCACCAATTGTTATTTTCAAAATGAAAATTTTCCGTCCGGGGGTGCGTGGGTTTCAGGAGTTTCGTTTCGAAAATAAATTTTAAATGATTATTGTATGCACATGGAACATGCCCAAGTTCTTATGGCTGCCGAATTCGGAAATCAATCTTTTGTTTAAGATCGTTGTACTTGCAGAAAAGGTGGGACTGAAACATACTAAAACCTTTCTTTCGAAAAAACAAAACAAACGGTAACCCCGGATCACCCCTTACAAATCTTTGAATGAGGTCAATTGTTTACTTAATGTTTAGGTAGGTGCGGGCCAAAGACCAGGCTAGGTGACCAGAAATATTAGGTACAGAGAACTGTTAACCATGGGACATTAAGATGTACGACTCGTACATCAGTGCTCCTGTATGCTCCTGTATGGGCGAGATGTAATTAAATTAATTTCAGAGCTTTGACAGATGTAGCACGTCAGGCAGAGCCTGGGTCCAGCGGCCCTCAGTCAGTGCATATGCTTGAACTCGCGAGCATGTGTTTGTTTGCAGACACCACCTGGCCAATTGCTTGCCGGTGCGAAGCAGGCGTGTACACAGAGTGACGGCTCAATCACGTTAGGATGTACAATGTCATGTACATGCACAACACAACAGACCACAGTCCATTTCAAAACTATAGACGCGTACCTAGGCAAAAACCGTTATGCCCGCATCTATACCACATAAAATCTGTGATCACTTTGTGCATAAAAATTTCCAAATTGGGCGTCTGTTATCCAATCGTTTAGAAACTATAATATGAGAGTAATTGTGGAGCGGTCCTGAGCAATATTCCGAAAACTATTCTCAAAAAGTTCCAGCCAAATTTTGAAATATTTCAAAAACCCTACGCGTCTATAGTTTTGAAATGGACTGTACTCATGACCGATACGTACATGTATGTTTCCTGCATGTTCTGCGTGACCAAATGATCACTAGCGAGACGCCGTGATACCCAGTTGATGCATACACAATGTCATGTCTTCATGCATCGCTTGTGCAGTGTTCATGTATCGGTTATGGATCAAATTGCAGCTAGAATAGAAGCTTAGTTTCACTAAAAGCATTTCCTAGACAGAAGAAAACAGCCGCATACGGTATGTAGCCATAAGCACTGCTTTTTTCACGTGGCCTTACGGCACTGCATAATTTGCACAGCTTACCATTTTGGCCATTCAAACACCAGCCTAGGACGTATAGCAAAATAGGTGTAGTTGCATAGTGGTGGCAGCAAGGCTGTCAGCAGAAAGATTTCCCATAAGCTCGTTCCATGATGATTGGAGACAAATGCTTCGTGCTCCTCTTTGTAGGTCATCGGGGACGTCCACAGCAAAGAGTCTACGGGGATAACTAAATGCCAAGCTATAAATCCCTGCGATTGTAATCAGTGGTAATGCGTAGTGCCTGTCTGTCGACGTCGTGACATTGAAAACATTGAAGCGACAGTTTCGAGTTTCAAACGAAAGCGTAGTTTTGTTGTGGAACACGTGGAAAACATCATTATTTTTTTTAAACTGCAGTCATGACGTCATGATATGATGCGTTCGCTAGCTCAGTACAGTAGTAGTACAGTAGCTGCATGCATGCTAGCTGCTAGCTCAGGAGTCAGGTTTCAGGAATCAGGTTTCAGGCCAGACTCCGGTCAGGAGCCAGGTCGCACCATGTACCAGTGCAGTAGGTAGATCTTCAGGGACTGAGACAGTGGGAGAGATCCGGGAGGAGTCATGTAACATCAAGAGTATAATTATAACCCCCGTTGGAGCATGGAGGTGGTCCCGGGGGGCTCTCCCCGCTAGGGACCGGCGGATTCTGCTCGAAAATTTGGCAGATTCTGCTCGAAAATTTGGCAGATTCTGCTCGAAAATTTGGCAGATTCTGCTCGAAAATTTGGCAGATTCTGCTCGAAAAGCAGTTATATTGGCAGAACCATACAAACCTTATGGCGGGACATTCCTCGAATTCTGCTCCATTTCTTTATCCACATACCAAACATGCATGAAACTTACCAGAAAAAGTACCGAATTCTGCCAATTTTTCTGCCAGCAGAATCCGCCGGACCCTACTCCCCGCGGGAACATTTTGAAATTAGGGTGCAAAATCCTGGATTCTGGGCACTTTTGGCATTGTGTTAAAAAAAGTGGTCCGGCCGGACCGGCTGCTACGTCCCTGTTATATAAGTACTCTTGCCTGAGTCTTGGTAACATGTGTAGGGCCGCCTGGTCCCTGGTCAGGACTCCCTGACTGACTGACAGTTTGTTGTCACTGCACAAAAAAGACCAGTGCATGCGTTGCGTAGCCATAGTAACCCCATATACAGTACTACTGTATGTATCTCTGCCATACACGCTATTGCCTATTGGTACACGGCCCAGCAGTTGGGTTTGTGCCGGAGGTAGCTCAGTATTCACTGAGTCCCGAGCCATGGGTACTAAATGACATGCCAGTCACACGGGTGCCACCGGCATTCAGTTGTGTGGGCTAGTCACGCGGCTGCAAACGGCTGCCAAGCCGAGAGCCGCACTGGGCCGGAGTGACGGCCCGATGCACAGCCGCCCGTCGCCGATCACACTCAGCTGTCTCAGTCAGGTCATAACAATTATCAGTGTCTTTCTACGGAATGGAACGGGTCATCACAGCCAGCGGTGAATCCCCATTTGTGATAAGCCTGATGAGAATCACGGCGGTAATGCCAATGCCGGTACAAATGCCAGCAGACCATTTGCTTAGCTAGCCTGAGCTCAGAACTGCTTGGGAGCTGCACATGCAGTGGCTAATTAAAAAAGAAAGGAAAAAAGTCATAACTACTTGTAGTAACTTATAGGTCCTTTTTCTCTTTACAAAAAAAATGGTACAGTTGGTAGGATGCAGTCTGAGATACATGTACACACTAGTTCTTCGAAGTTGAAGTACAACAATCGCTAAAGCCGACTCGAAGTCAGGAGTTATTTTGTGAGAATCTGCCGGAAGGTGAGCTGCTGTGCTATATGGCGTCATTTGTGCAAAACAAGTCTGCTCAAATCATAATTCCGATTAAAAGGCGTCATCACTGAATGGACAGAAATGCATGCCATGAGACTGAGGCATGGCATGGCGTCGCAAAGCCACCAAAGTTAGTACAGTACAATGCTGCTCAATGGGATTCAATCGCGCTTGAGTCACAGTCACGTACCACTGTGCCTATAATTCTATTAGCATAGTAGACCATCCACAACTAGATTACCATAGTTAGCCGCGATGATCGTAGGTACTAGTACGCGGAGAGCACTTGGTTACTTCCGGGAATGGCCAGTTGGTTTTGTGGCAGTTGTGTGCTGGCTGCCATGCGTGGACTTTACAGTCGGCATTGATCCCGCAGGCTGACCGCTTGCGGCTGCGTGACGGCGATCCGGTTGAATTGCGCGCCTAGCTGTAGAACTGTGGAGCTGTGCTGGCTGCGCCTGCAGCTGCGACGGTGGCATGAAGTACTTGCATTCGGCCGGCATCGGAGATCGTAGCTCCTCTGCCGACGGTGCGCCGATCCCGCTATCGTCAAGACGACGGTAGCCATCGATCAGCGAGCTGAAGCCTGTAATGCCGCCCATGGCCGCGTAGGGCACTACCTTGCCGACCGGCTTGCCCCTCTCCAAGCGCTCCTCGCGCGTCTCCACGATCATCGCGTGGTCTGCAGTGGTGTGTCCGCACTCGCAGCGGTAAGACGTGCGGTATGCGCGGCAGGCACAGGCATTGCCGGAACGCTTGCACGCGTGTGGTGCCCGCGCATCGTGCTCTTCGGCCGTGTGCTTGCAAGTGCAGCGCGGCGGCTGAGTGCCGACCACGCTGGGAAGGTAGCGGTATGACCTACACCTGCAGCCTCTCTCCTGGCATGGCACTGGAATGGGATGCGGCGGTAGGTCATTGTAGTCCGATCGGTGAGCTTTGTACCTGCAGAGATCAGTGAACAACAATAGGAGCAAGATAGCAACAGGCAGAAGGGAGCGAATACATCAACTGATCAGGTGGATGCATTGCATAGAGCCGAGATCGTTCTGTGAACTGCAGTCTATCTTGCCAGCGATCAGTTTGTTCTACACCGGCACCATCGGTTGCTAGTACCAAACACCAACTTTTCAATTTCGCTAACGTTATGCACAATAGATCATGCAGCACCTCTAAGACAACCTGACTAAGGGCGCGTTCGAATTGTCCCTCTTTGACTTTTCGAGGAGTTTCGCTTTTCTGAAGAGGTGGCCTTATTGGCCTCTTCAGAAAAACGAAACTCCTCGAAACTCCACAACCTCATCCGATGGGAGAGGTGGATTAGTTCCGAAGAGTTTGGAATAGCTACGTCACGTAGTACGTGGAGATGGTCGATCTGATCGGACGTCATCATCGCCATGACAATTCCACTGAAAAACTCTAAAAAATGATAGAAACCGTTCTACTAATCTCTTTAAAAAATTTGTTTGAACAGTTGATGAAGACAATTCGAACGCGGCCTTAGTATGATGCTTCAAGAAATGCAAACCATTCCGCTGCCATTGGACTGAGCAGCCACAGTGTGCACAGTCACGGTCTCATGGGCATGCAGCTACGAACAGAACTTTAGAGAACAGACGCCGGCTCCTTTTCAAGTATTTCATCTATAGTGCACAAACCTGTGTCCACAAAAGCAAGGTGTTTCAGGGCCCACCAGCTTGCAGTCCATTCCATCAGGATTGGTCCAACTAAAAGCACAACAGACGAACACATATACACACACTTGTACTTGTTCACTGCCAAAACTGGTGACGTGGGTCTCCCCGGGGAGGCCTCGAGGGGAGAGAGATTCAAAACAAATCTTGGAAATACGACTTTCTTCTGCTTCTTCTTTTTTCTTTTTTTCCCTTTCTCTTTTTCTTTTTGAGTATTTACGGTCTGTGTTTTCTGTGTTTTTCTCTCTTTCGTGGAGGCTTGCTTGTTGTATCCTTGGCTTTTGGCTGTTACTTTATCGCCATCACAATATTGGGCACCATTGACCGTTTGGTCTGCGATACAAAATAAAATTTCAACAACAACAACTCAGTTGGCTATTGAACTGCCCAACGGCCGACACCCCCTTAAAATTGAAGTTGCACACACATGCACACACACACGTGCATGCAAGCACACATGCAAGCAAGTGCACATGTATGCACACGCGCGCGCGCACACACACACACACACACACACACACACACACACACACACACACACACACACACACACACACACACACACACATATATATATACATCGTATATACACGCACATGTGCACACACGTATGCGGCACACAAACACACCGCACACATGTACACATGTGCCTATTCTGCACTCTTACACCTTACACTCTTACACCTGCCAATCGCTGAAGCAATGATAGCGAACAGCTATGTTAGACATGGCAACTTGTGCTGGGATTACACCATTCAACAGCTTGCAAGGCTGATGAATTGACCGCCACTAATTTTAGCCTGGTATCCCGCCACTACACAGCTCATTGAAGTGGCTTTTTCTGGCCAGTGAATCCCTATCTTTCATTTTTTTCCATCTTTCCATTTTTTCATTTTTTTGGTTTGTTGACACACACATGCCACACCACATACTCCGGCATACACTGGCTGCTGGTCACCAACCAGGAGGATGAAAGAAGAGCTAGGAGAATGAGAAAAAGAAGAAAGACGTGTGCAACCATAATCGTCGGGAATTGAACCCGCAACCTCTCGATTGGAAATCGACATATTCTGCGCACACACACACACATACACACACACACGTATGCACTCACACACACACACACACACACACACTCACACACACACACACACACACACACACGTATGCACTCACACACACACACACGCACACACACACACACACACACACACACACACACACACACACGCGTATGCACTCACACACACACACACACACACACACACACACACACACACACACACACACACACACACACACACGTATGCACTCACACACGCACACGCACACACACACACACACACACACACACACGTGCACTCACACACACATACATGTACAAGTACATGCACATATACGTGTGGGCATGCATACACAAGATGAAACACACCTGACAAAGAGTCGATTCTTGATGCGATCCACCACAACCGTCTTCTTGAAATGTTCGTATTGCTCAGGTGTCATGATACCTCCAGGTAGGTCTTTGTCGGCATCTCCAACTATCCTGGATTACACCGTGACGGAGCCAGAATACAGTACATAAAAAGTTGCACATGCAAATGGGAAGTTATGACTAGTACTTTCCAACAGTCAGAGCTTCCCTTGCTACCTTGGTCACATGATGTACAATAAAACTCTTCTAATCCGGGCAGGTTGGGACTGAGCACTGCGGCATGTCCGTAACTAGGAATTGCCCGCGGCTCAGAGCATACATGCTTGTACTCACTGCATGCTTGTAAACATTCTTTTACGCCAACCAATAGTTTTCGGGTCGTTTTTCATTGACTACAGGTGGGTCAGAAAGGTGCCCAGTAGACGGAAGTGCCCGGATTAGGGACGTCCGGATCTGGGGAGTTTTACTGGTATAAGCCCCACTTGTTAAACACCAGAAATTCACCCCAAAAAAGTCGGTGTGACTTATACATGTACTACAACTTACAAGCGTCTAGTAAATATTAACGGTGGTAAATGGGGTTGATGTCTGTATCTTGTGACAAAAGTAACCTGGGTGCGGCTTATACATGTATAAATCCGGGAACTGAGTTCAACTAACACTTGAATACGGCAACATACCGTTTGTACTCCAAGTATGCTTCAACATCAGCAACTGCCTGCGACGTTAGGTGAATTCGTTCTGCGCCACCTTCTGCCATCTTGGATGCGTGGCTGAGTGCTTCCAGATAAGTACAGTGTACATCGGTGGTCTGGTCAGTGATCCTTCCACTACTCTCAGCAATAAGGAAATAGTAGCATTGATATTATCGGTACAGCTAGCCGCGAGTGTATGGGATTGAATTTCAATGAAATCGGCTACTGTGTCACCAGTGATCGAGACACTCAGCTTTTCACACGGAGTGGCAGTGTGCTGCTGGCCCGCTACCATGGAGCTGATGAGGTTGTTTCTGAGCGAACCAACGTTACTTTTCCTCGGACTGGAATACCACTAGCATGCACTGGGTACTACCAATTGTGCAAGGTAGCCGCTATGATCCCTGCTCAAAATAGCCCCGTTTTAGACACACGAGCCACAAAGCTAGCGCAAATCATTCCCTTCCCTTTGAAGTTTGATTTGACAACGAGTCATGTACACAGACAGACTCACCGTAACTAAGGTGCTTGTCAGTTTCGCGTTACCAAAGGATACGACTACATGACTGGATAAGTACAATCATGACAATAATTCAGTTGTCATGGTCATTGACACTGACAGTGTCAATGACCATGACAACTGAATTATTGTCATGATTGTACTTATCCAGTCTGTGCCCGGTGACAAACACGATCACTTGGCGGCTTACAAACCTAAGTCCTTCACTTGCACATGATTGTGGCAAGTAAGTAATTACAAGTTGTGCCCTGCAAGGCTAGCTGCAGAGTGCAGGCGATGGAGCCAGGACTATCACGATATTCGATAACCAAGGTAAGGTTTTTTCTCACTTTTGATCAATTTATGCCACGAGACAGTACAATACCCACATGTACCAAGACTACTGTACATAATCATTGTACAGTCTGCATCGGCTATAGAGTGACCGGATATAGGAATATACCGGCTACAGTGATATTGGTACGAAATATCAAAAGCAAAACGTATTCAAGTTATCCAGTACAAATATCACTATAAGTATAACCAATATTATCGGATGTAATGATATTATCGGATATTATGATGACAACAAAGAATCAAAACATGCTGTCCCTCCAGGAAATCGCGATTCCACGGATGCAACAAATTTCGCGATTTTGGCCCAAACCCGCGATTTTCAGCAAAATCCGCGATTTCCCGCGTTTTTTGTTGTTTTCTGCACTATATCTCACATTTTTATGCACTTTTCACGCAGCTAGTTCTTTCCATGATCCTGTAGGTTATTTGCACAGTACGACTCCCGAGTAGATATACGATGCAACAAATTTCGTGATTCGGCCCAAATCCGCAATATTCTGCAAATAATTCCGCGAATTCCTGGCAAGTTCTGCATCATTCCGCACTTTTCGTCGCATTTTTTGTTACTTTCTGCCGCAATTTCTTGCGCAAGTTTTCGAGAGTTTTTTCCGCAAATTCCCGCGGCGACAGAACATGCATAACACACTATAATTATTATTATTGGCTATAGTGATAACTTTAAAATACATGTAGCAATAATATCAAAGACCCTATTTTTTTACTTTCTTCACGTTGCTTATTTTTATAGTGATACATGTACATGTACATAACAGATTTTTTTATGGAAATGCGGGCACTGTCAACTATGCAGCATGCTCATTTGTCAAAACGCCATGCTGGAAGTATTTCCTTGCCTTTCATGTGTCGATCGAAAAAAGAAGAAAAAAATCGATCGTATCGCATATAGTGATGCATCGGTTATAGTGATAAAATCACGGAAATCAAAAAGGGTACGCTATAGCCGATACAGACTGTACAAGAAACTGGCAGTTTGTTGTTGTTGTTGTTGTTGTGGTTTCATGGTTTCATGTACTCTTGATGATACTCGCGGGACATGGGCAATGATGGATCTACGAGTACATTGTAGCTGCTGCCACTGCTTTCCAGGGAGTCATACCTACCCTGCTTAGTTAGGTTGCGACCCTTTTTTCAGTGCTAGCCAAGATCTATGACTCATGCATGCAACTTCAACCTCTCCAGCCTCTCTTCTTCTTGATGAATACCGGTACCAGGGACAAGTACAACTAAATATTAATTGGTCACCAACAACAACTTCCACAGACTCCCCGAGGGAAGTCTCCTCCATGAACATCGATCTCACGGTTACACGGAAATTCACATGGAAAAACGCCGCGGGGGTAATTACAGTACATGTGAAACCTGTCGAAGACGATCGTTCAAGGGACCTTCAAAGTGTGGTCTATTACCAGGTGGACCAGGGTCATTAGACTGGAAGTACATGTAGCATCCCTTGGGCCAGGTTCCAGTGGTCTTCTAGGGCAGGTGGTCCCTTTGCTGAGTGGTTACCCTGACAGGTTTTTATTGTCTGTACTTCGAGGTACATGTATATTCATGAGAGTGAATTTCCCGAGCAGTGCAGTACATGAACTCTAGTCTAGTCTATACTATTATATGGGACACCTGCACATACATGTAATTGTCAGCCAATCCCTATCATCCGCCTATGCATTCAGCACCATCACCAAGCAAGCCCTGGCAAGCAGCCACCACACAGTGCCACTAGTGTACAATGCACACTCCATGATCGGATCCAGTGTGTGCGAAGCACAGCTGCACAGAGACTCAGTTACTCCGTTACTATGTAATTGTTGCGTGTACATGGTACACACGTGCAATGATTATGTACAATACAAAAAGCAGGTAAGGTTACGTGTATACCGTATTTAAAATAAAACTTGAGCAACAAAAAGAGACAAAAGCGGTCAGACTATGAAAGCAATTATTGACGTTATCCGGGACAGCAGTGGGAGATTGGCAAGTAACCTGAATGTCAGAATGAAAGCGAAGAGCAAAGTACGTGTACATGTAGAGGATCTAAGCGACGTGAGTACAATCAGTCATGTAAACTGAGCCACTCATGCACATCACACAGCTGGTTAGATAATTATTAGTATGCATCGGAGAGCGAAATAACTGATGAAGACATACGTCAGCAAGTTATGTGCCACCTACAGATAGCGTGATGACAAGTGAAATGAAGTATACTTTTAAAGTAGGTGAATGAACAGTACACAACATCGGCAACGCCACAGTGACAGGATCTAGGAAGCAACACGTGACATTGCAGTTGGTTTGGGCTTGGCTCAACTAACAATTACAAGTTCAGAAATCGATCGGCAGAGGAAATAATAGATGATAAAGTTATCGTTGGATGGACACAACGGGCGCAATGTGACACACACCCACACCCACACATGCACCCACACACCCACCCACCCACCCACACACACACCCACACCCACACCCACACCCACACACAAACAATGAACAGCCTACCTACTTCTGAACACACGGAAGCGGAAAGTTTGCGTAACACAACCACAGTACGCAAACACAACCTCTATAAGTACACGCTAACACTGCAGTCACACTTAGACAGCCAGCAGCAGCACAACCGACACAAAACCAAGAATATTCTGTGTTTATGGCCATTGGAAGAACGCAATGATGGCAAAAACAAACAAAACAACTAGAACTACATACACAGCACAAACCGGTGACTCGAAACGGCAGCAAAGGACAGGATCCGAGACGCTAGAGAACATCGGGTTCACTCTAACGCCATGTTCGGCCACACGCTGTACTCTGCCAGGTTGGGAAGCCCTTCCCCGATATTGGCAGCGCTACTGAAGGCTTCACCGTCCTCCTTGTGCGGCGTGCGAAGGCGCAGGGATCGTCGCACCGGCGTCATCACCACATGGTTATTCATTGTGCATATGCTGGACACTCTCCCCCTGTCAGTGTACGGGGAAAGCCAACACAACAATGAAGAGTTATGTCTGCACAGTACGCCTGCAGGTTCCTGAAAGATGAACACTAAATATGGCAATAACAGAAGGACCAAGCACAGGCACACATCCAGTATCTACTTGCTTACACGAACATACTAGTAGTAGCGTTCTTAGGTGGAAACTGTCTCTGAACCATGAATGAGTGAGTCAGCATTGCCATGCTATGTGTGCAGGAGACAGAGAAGAGAGAGAGAGAGAGAGAGAGAGAGAGAGAGAGAGAGAGAGGGAGAGAGAGAGAGAGAGAGAGAGAGAGAGAGAGAGAGGGAGAGAGAGAGAGAGAGGGAGAGAGAGAGAGAGAGAGAGAGAGAGAGAGAGAGAGAGAGAGAGAGAGAGAGAGAGAGAGGGAGAGAGAGAGAGAGAGAGACAGAGAAGAGAGAGAGAGAGAGAGGGAGGGGGAGAGGGAGGGAGGGAGAGAGAGAAAAGAGAGAGAGAGGAGAGTCTTTTGCAAAGCCTTCAGACACCGCTTACCTGGCGGAGTTTGACGGCGTGCACGGAGCAAGACTGCGCACAAAGGCACCAGCGGGGGAGCCCGCTTTGCCTAAAACAAAGACAAGAGCAACATTATTATGCCCAAGAAGGATATTGTTACTACGTACTGTGTTACCTTCTCACGAGCTTGAAAGTTGACGGTCTGTGAAAATAATCAATTTGGCACACGTTTTCTTGTGTCACTTGACAGGAAGTGGGGCTGCTAATGATACTTTGGCTAGGCAGAATGGTTGCAAAAACTCTCTACACGAACAAGGACAAGGAGGCACTACAGGTGCCGGGCAGGCAACCAATATCGACACTTTTATCAGGAAATGCAAAGATCATGTGTGTGTGTGTGTGTGTGTGTGTGTAGAAAAAAATGGAAAAATGAAAATAGGGATTCACTGGCCAGAAAAAGTCACTTCAATCAGCTGTGTGGTGGATACCAAGCTAAAAATAGTGGCGGTCAATTCATCAGCCTTGCAAGCTGTTGAATGGTGTAATCCCAGCACAAGTTGCTATGTCTAACATAGCTGTTCGCTATCATCGCTTCCGCGATGGGCAGGTCTGAGGTCTGAGGTGTGTGTGTGTGTTTGTATGGATGACTTTGCGTCGGTTGAGCCACCGGTACCAACATGTGGATGGTACGATGCAGCCCAGAACCGTCCGGAGTGGCGTGCCATTGCCCGTCGACCACCCAAGGCACCCTCTGCTGCTGGCTACGGTTGCGCCTGCAGCCGCATGTTCCGTTGAAGCGGCGACCTGAAACGCCATCAGTCATTCTGTCGTGGACTGGAGAAATAACAATGCGCTATCATTACTACGCACTGGGCAATGGGCAAGGTCAAGGTCAAGGTCAAGGTGTGTGTGTGTGTGTGTGTGTATACATGTGTGTGTGTGTGTGTGTGTGTGTGTGTGTGTGTGTGTGTGTGCGTGCGTGTGTGTGTGTGCCTGCATGTATACGTGTGCTTGTGACAGGGCGATGTATCAAACACAAAGAGCAACAAAAAGACGAAAAGAGTAACAGTGAGACACTCACCGATCGGTTTCACCTTCTTCGTAGACCGTGAGGCAGCACCAGCAGGAGAAAAGGACATCAGATCTGCTCCATCAGTTTCCACCGGAGGCGCTGCAGCGGTAGACAGGAAAAAGTCCCAACCAAGCACGAGCAGAACACATCGGATAAGTTACTGCTTAGGAAACAAATTTCACAAAGAACATGTCAGACAACGCCACCTCAAGCACCTGGACATTACTGCACATTACTGTTCGAGTCATGCTTCTATACACGACACTACAGTAACCGGTAAAGTGCTTCTACAATGAACTGCACAACGTGTATGGATGCAACTCATGATGCAGGTGTGCAGAGGACAAGCCTATCAAAACAAGGCTTACACTAGTGTTTACTGTATGAATGTGTTTTTTACTACTGATATTTCCACCTGTTGCCTAGACAACCGCGCAAGCGAGGTTTGGATTGTAGTTTGTACCGGCGTATGGAAAGATGAGAGCCAGGGTATATACAGACAGGAATGCACGGCGGTGGTGCAAATATGCAACAATACAGCATTGATAGCATTGGCTGCTCATCGAGTACAGTTTTACAAACCTTGCCAGCCAGGCTGCCATCCCTTCATCTGCTTGGAGGCCGATAGTGGCTCGATGTATGCAGAGAAATCAAAGCCGGCATTGCTAGGAGGCTGCTCTTGCTGCTGGAGCAGCAGCTTCTGTTGGTGCTTCTTGGCCGACTTGGCAATAGCCGATTGCAGGAGGGAGCCACGGCGTGTTTTCGTGCGAGGCGTCTTGGCTTTCGTTGCCGGGCTGCGTGGCGTTCGTTTCTTAGGAGAAGAGACTGAACTCGAACTTGACGGTGTCTTGCGGGTGGCTGAGCAGACTGGGGTGTTCTTTCGCGATGCTTTCGCCTCTGGTGTACGCACGCTTTCCGCAACAGTTGAAGAAGAGCAAGCGCCAGCATCCTCCACGACAGCCGCGTCCTCGCCTTCCTTAGCGGCAACAGCTTCCAGTTCCAGCTTTTTCGCCATGCGGAACTGTCGCATCCGTTCTCGTGCTGCGGCTGCCGCCTTGGCCGGAGTCTGAAGTGCATTAAACACGAACGAAGAAGAAAGAAACGTTCCGGCATGAGCACACGTAGGTAGCATCATGTCAAACAAGGCAAAACAACTGAGTTTGAGAAGGTGAAGAAGAGAGAGGACATCGCACTGATGATCGCAGATACCAACACTGATTCCATGAAATCTAAAATGCAGTTGTCAAGAAAAGCGGGGTAACAACTCAAGACGGTGTACAGAGCTGGCAACCAGGCAGTGAGCGTGATCAGAAGTTGTACGGGTGATGACTCAGTGGCAGCTTACCTTCTTCTTTGTGATCTTCTTGGCTTTGGGCTTCTTCTTCGGCGTTTTTGACACCACTTCCCAGTTGCTCTCCTTTAGCTTTGTCAGGGCTTCGAATTTCTGCTTCACGTCGTCGATCTACCATCAAAGAACAACACCAACAAATACTGTAGTATTAATGTATTATCTCTGAAGAATCTACATTAAACGTAGTACAAGACTCAGCGCAAATTTTGCTTTGCTCCTGAGGGTCTACAGTATCTACTAAGCTCAGGGCAAGCAATACACTATACAGGGCAAGCAATACACTATACAGGGCAAGCAATACACTATACAGGCCAACAGTAAGCAATACACTATACAGGCCAACAGTAAGCAATACAGGCCAACAGTAAGATCTCCACTAGGGTAGTCGGCTACCTGAAAGCTGATCATCTCCCAGAAGCCTTGCAGGTCAGACGCATGTGTTAACTTGTCGCCAGAAGGATTCTGCAAACACAGAGAGAGAGAGAGAGAGAGAGAGAGAGAGAGAGAGAGAGAGAGAGAGAGTCAGAGAGAGAGAGAGAGAGAGAGAGAGAGAGAGAGAGAGAGAGAGAGAGAGAGAGAGAGAGAGAGTGGAAACGAGCAAGGCCACACAGACACGCGCACGCACACACGCACACACACACACACACAAGCTCCCAGTATAAGTTTCATAGAGGAAGGCAAACAAGATCAAGACTGATTCAAGAGCACTGCAAAGAGCTATGAATCATTAGGAGTCTTTTTTAGGACATGGAATAATGAACCGGTCAATAATGATGTTGCAATTCAGTGTACGTACATCAGCACCATCGCACAGCTTGGAGAATTGCTTGAAGCGTTCGCGGATGAGCAACCGAGCCTGACCAACGGCTGTGTCGATCCGACCAACGACTGGAAAAAAACAACAGAAAGACATACAGTCTTACAAGTACTGTCTTAACATCACAGCATGCACAAAACAAGAACCCTATACAGGGCATAGCTTAAGGATTTCATTTAGCTCGGACAAATGTCCTTCCGTTTTGAAATCTGTCCGGACGAAGAGTGGGGAGAACGCTGGCGCATCAGATTCGAGCCCTCTAAATCGCAACAGCTGCTGATGACTACGAAAGCCACACACCCTGCTGTCCCTGACATCAAGTTTGGAGGTATCGCGGTTCCGGAAGCCAACACCATCAAGCTTCTTGGAGTGACATTTGACGCCAAGCTGTCATTCCGGGATCACTTGCACTCAATTGCGACACGTGGCTGCCAGAGACTGGGTGTTCTCCGTCGGGCTTGCCGGGTGTTAGATTACCAGGGCCGGCTTTGTGCGTACAAGGGATTTGTGCGACCCATCCTCGAGTATGCTCCCCTTGTGTGGATGGGAGCTGCATCCAGCCACCTCGCCCGACTCGACCGTGTATAGAAACGTGCAATGGCCATTATTGGCCCTGGTGCCCTTCTCCAAAGCCTGTGCCACCGCCAGTTTGTTTCTGGGCTGGTATACCTGTACAAGCTCCAGTGCATCCCAGGAACACCCCAGCTCACCGCCATGATCCCCCCTCCAGCCAACCATGTAGAAGCTCGGCGTACCCGGAGTCAACCCCCTCCTGGCCAGCAGCACCATGTGTAGCTGCAGCAAGTCCTGGACAGGAGAGCACCTGCCTATGCTTCTCCCTCCTTCCCGTTTTCTGTAGTCTCAGTGTGGAACAGCTTGCCAAGCGAAATTGTAAGGGCTCCACTCAGCTTGAAGCGGCTCCACACGTTCAAAGTAGATGTCCATAAGTACCTCACGCACCAACACTGGCTGATGGCTACCGACTTCTACGGATGAACTCTTGACTGTGGCACGGGCCATGTTCCTTGGTTCGGCTATGCTGATGATATTGGGCTTCATTTACCTTTTATTTAATTTTTTATTATTAATTTATTATTTAGTTTGTCTTGTTTGTTATGATTTCTTGGTTTTCCACCCGGCTTAGTTATAATTTAAATTATTATTTGGTGCAGCTTTAGCGCTATGAGGTTTATTATTTTCCTTTTTCTTAATTTCGTATTTAGCGCTTTTGGGCGTCATTATTTTCTTCTCATTATTTCGCACCAAGTTATTATTTTGTGGTATTCTCTAGCTTCTGTTTGTTTTGCAGTTGTTCTTGTGCAACCCCCCCCCCCCCCCCAACACACACACATTTTTCGATGCCTAGTTGCAACGCTGACGCCGAGACCTCTGGTCGGTTGAGTTGCTCCCAGCACATCAGCACGTCGTCCCTACATCCCCTATGTTTTGTCCTTTTCCTCGTTTATTTTGTTCTCCACCTGTTTTCCAGTAGGGCTGTGTCAATAGTAAAAAATAAATAAATAAATAAATAAATAAAAAAATAAAAAAAACAAAACATGCCCGGACATTTTCCACAACACATTTTCAGGGTGTTTCTTTTTTTTAGTAGTACTGAAGTATATTCACAATGACTCATTTATGTGGACGTATCTCACACATTACTATGTACAATTCGCCAATTTATTTGTATTAGAAACTGAACTATATACTGACGACAAATGTATGTACAAGAAAGCGTTGCAGTCAAGAATTTTGCGAACGCGATATGCTCCTTGCAGAGAAGGTAAGTCAGTTCGAATTTGCGTCGTGCAATAGCGGCAGCACCATCGTCCATCTCGCACAGTGCCTCCGCAATTGGACCGAATTCGAGGGCATTTCGAGCGGGACACTCTTGCCTGCGGAAAAGATTCATTCCTCGTTTATGCATCTCCGTTCCAGCATGATCCTTGAACGCTGATGTTCTCAGGTTCTTGGATCCGGTTATGAAAGCCTCGCTGAAGTTTTTACAACTGCGGACTCTGCCTACAAACTTGATGCACACGGAACACTTCAAACATTCTGCTAACAGCCGATCGTTCTTCTGCCGGTCATAAATCAGCCAGGCAGAAGTAGTCAGCTCTGCATCATTGTCCGAGATCCACTTATCAAAAGTAGCGGCCTTCACACCACGGACTTTTTTGCCCGGCGGCAAGTCCTCTGAATCTCCCTTTCGCTTTCCAGAAGACATTCTAAAAGACTATCTGCATTCCTGGTCAGTGAAAGAGTGAAAAATAAAAGATGACGTCTTCCTCTCAAGAGCGAACAACTGCACTGCAGTTCAACCCATACGGGCCATAGATTCAGGTGCGAAGTCGACACCATGCATGTACCAAAGCCCAAAGGTCGAAAGTGTGAATTGACTGTAGCAACCGCGTTGCTACAGGCGGATTATGGTGAAGTCTACGCCTGAGGGATCGAGGCTACGGTGTAGACGTGTTAGTTGTACGATATGCAAGTCGCATTTGGTACGAAGCTCCGCACGGCTGTTAGCTGCACTTGGATCGCGGCAACTAACTAACTTAGTTTTCTGCACGTGAACCATGAAAAATCAATGCATGCTCATGCATGTTCATGCATAACCAGTCAGCTGGCCTGCTCGCCCACGCATTTGACAGGTAACAATTCCATCAAATTTGAGATATCGCTTCGTTCTAAGTCTCAAAACAGTTCTAAAGTCACCAAACCACGCTGGTAATCGATGGCTATTCAATGTTAACATCTTCAGGAAGACTTCAGCCGTTTCCCGAGAGTTTGGGCATCGTTGCCGTTATTTTTCACGGTGTTCTTCTTCCTCCTGTCTGGAGCTGCAATTGCATCCTGGAATTATTTGAAAGGTATTTCGTGCGGGCTGTGGGGGGTTCCAACAGGCATAAACTGACATCGCTATAGGATAACTGGTAACTTTCACCCTTCAAGGAGGTAGAGCAATGAGAATTTTTTTGTGGCGGTCGTCCAATTTTTGTGGCGGTCGTGGCTGTATTTGTGCACTTCCAAGGCTTTCATTCTGCCTGATACTACTCTCTACTGTATGGGAATCGTTGTTTAGGCTCATGTAGCTGTCTTATTTGGTAGATCTGCTGTTTTCAATCACTTGGGACACTTTGTCTAGCCTATTTGTCTTTCGTTCGTGCCATCTATCAGTTTTGTGGGGTGCATTGACCTGTATTTGTGAAGTTCTCGAGTAAAGACCCTAATTCTTGACTGCAGTCACGTCTTGAATTGAATTTGCTGGGTGAGCCCTCGTTCACGCAGTTGTACTTATCGTAATAGTCAATATCTGCTTGCTGGACGGACTAGCGGCTAGAATAGGGATGACCAAATGGTCCAAGTGTGTACTAGTACACGATTATTGTTTCCATCATCGTGAAATGAGCGTTGTGGAATTGCAGTCGTCGTCTGCCTTTGGCACTGAGGACACGAGGAGAGTTGATTGTTACTTCTGCTCAGCAATGAAGCGATCATCAGCTCTCTTTGTTCTAATTATTGAGAGGACATACCGGCATCGCAATCAAGTAAAGATTAGGCAAACCTCGCCAACCTCCAAAGAGAGTCGAAGATATTTTCTCCAAATGCAAAGACGATCTTCGTGAGTTTGTGACTTGCATTTGCGTGCATACATGAGCAAGTCACGGACCACGGCACGTGCGCGGTTACCATGCCATCTCGAACCGACGCCATCTTTCTAAGTTGCCGCTTCTTGACTGCCGTGTCCGAAGAAAGCCCAACTCTGCATAAAAAGGTCGAAAGGTCGCTGCTCTTTTTTTCCTTTTTGACCGGACACTATGTCCGGTGAAATTGAAAACGTCCGGTCAGTGGCCGAAAATGGCCGGAAAATGTCCGATGTCCGGCCGTTAATCTATGCCCTGCTATATCGTGGTGCAGGGAAACCATTTACATTACACTGAGTAGAGCCACCAAAATCAACGTCATCATCTGCTGATGCTTCCATTGGCATTTGGCAGGAATCAAACGTGAATGCTCTTCAGAGAGTTGAGCCTGTGGGTAAGAACTTCTAAGAAGCATGTCGAGTACTCACTGTCTTCGGAGAGTTCATGGCGATGTTCATCGACCGTGCCATCCCACGTGTCTGCCAGCGAATGGAGCTCAATGGCTGTTGTGTCCATGGTGCGTCGGAATGGGGCAGAGACATTCTCGGCCCTTGGCGATGCTGCTTCATCACTGGATGACGTGGAAGACTACAAGAATATGAACCAGCAGCGAGCAAAACACACACACACATACACACACACACACACATACACACACACACACACACACACACACACACACACACACACACACACACACACACACACACACACATATACGAGTACACATACACAAGTTTAGACAAGGTATGTCGTGTCAACCTGGACAGAAATAGAATGCTTTGCAGTGGCAGATGACCTCCCAAATCCCAACTGCTCCAACCTTAGCAAGGACAGGCCCGCTCTGCAATACACATTCATAAAATATAGGAGAGACAACAGTTTGTGCAAAGTACACTACACATACGGGTGTTCTGGTTTGGCATGGTGATGAGGTTGTCCCACATGAAACACAACTTCCAAGTACTAGTAGCAATAGTTAGACAGCCGCACACAGAGGAACACAATTCTTATTCACTCACAGCTGACGACGCTTCCCCACGAGTTACGCAGACAGGAGAGACTTCGGTCTGGGGTGAGGAAGGCACCGATGAAGAAGAGGAAGAGGAGGAAGAAGTATCGGCCAGCACTGGAGAGGAGAGGCCGAGGCCGGCGAGCTTAGCGACGCACGGTGAAGTGCCAGTCGCTTCCTGTAGAGGTGGCGAGGCAGCGGTGGCGGCGGCGCTGATGGCAGCAGCTCCACTGGGGCACGGTGTAGATAGAAGACTCGGTGGGTGCTGGGCACGCGGCGTTTTCGGCCTCCTCCGAACGCAGCTGGCAACTGTCTTATCGGAACTGGATTCTGCAGAGCCATTAGACGGAGTGTTGGGCCACAGGGCTGGAGAATCGGTGGATGGCAAGCCGCATGGTGGTGTTGCCGGCTTTTCTCCACGAACAGTCACTAGGCCAGCAGTTGCATTCAGGTTCTTCCGGAAATTGAACTTGAATGGCGAGAACTCGCCACCCGGGAAGACACTGCTGAATTTGTCAGATGGAACGCAGCCGAGAGTCGCAGCAGCTCCAGTGGCACTGCCAAAGTTGAATTCCACTGGTAACGCAAGCACACCAGTGCACCAAACACACACACACACGCGCACACACACACACACACACACACACACACACACACACACACACACACACATGCATGCACGCACAAACATACACACATGAAAGTGAAAATGGAAAAAAAGAAGAAGCAATACGTCTGATATTCATGAATTTTGATGGAGTTGAAACGGGAAAAGTGTGACAACACAATGTTACTGCCACTACCAGGACTCAAACTAAGGACCCTCGCATGTGTCAGTGATACTCTACCACTAGCACTAAGCTATGGTGTAGTTGTCATCCTAGCAGCGACCGTTCAACATCTTCTGCAGATTTTGAAACACACCATTACATCTGAAACAAGAAATAAAGTACGTATTATTGTCTCCTTTCCTTCGCTCCACTCCCTATGCTGGTGCTTTTAGCAGGTCTCCAACTAGGAGGACGAGTTGAGTGAATTGACATGATGAGGTGTGTGAAGCAGTACATGTATTGCCGTTCAGCTGACTCAAATACAACAGAACGCAAGCCAAGAAGACACAATACATACTGGTTGGCAGGTTGGATTCCTTCAGGGGCTTGGCCGCAGATTGACTGCTTTTCGCAGTAGGTGCATTCTTTCTATCCTTGGTAGCTCGACGACTTGCTGCTGCTTGTTGTCTATTCTCCTTGCTCTCCATCCTCTGGAAAATCAAACAATAAAATTTGAGAATTAGTTGACTAGCTATAAAATTGCAGTACACTGCGGTCATAAGGTACACATGCTGCACAGACTGAGGTATAGGCGTTGAGAATGCAAAAGGGAACATTATCCAGTGTCCATTTACAGACCCGCCGGAACCGGTCCGGCGGGTCAAGCTATCACCGGACCAACGTTTGGCCACCAACACATGTTTCCTACTGTGAAGGGCATGAGCACCCGCCATATCGAGTTGAGTGAAATAAATAAATAAATAAAATATCATGCACAAAGTATGAAAGACCATGACACTACCGGACCAATCAAAAACCGCTTCCGGCGGTCCTGACTCATCAAGCAAATTCTCAGTGTGCTGCTATACCTGTGCACGAGTGGAGCTGCGGACAGCGCGCTGAGTGAACTGGTGCGGCACTGGCTTCGTTGTCGGCTTTGGCGTCGGCTTCGGCATGGGCTTATTGACGGCAGACACCGAGGGCAAAGGTACGGGAGCTCCAACATTGCGGCTGCCCACTTTGAAGGGTTTGGGCTGGTGCGATTTCACGCGGGCCATCTGCTCATTTCTTTTCTTCTTCCATTGCAAGAGCATCTGCTTGCGGTCGTCCGCTCTTGTTTCTGTGGCTGCTGCTGATTCTGGATACAGGATGCAAATGAGTATAACAAGTTCAAATCAAGTAATGATTGGAATGCTCTGGCTTTCAAGATTTCATTTTCACTGCAAAAGGGTCCTACAAATATTCTCTGGATGTCGTAAATGTTAAGACACTTATTCATTTCATGTGGCTCAATTCAAGATGCAGTGCTTTCTGACTCACCCGCCTGGCAGCAGATATACAGCAAAGTAAGCACTTAAAAGTCAGTCTGTGAGTGCGTGTATGTGTATTGTGTGTATGTGTGTCATTCGGTGTGTGTGTGTGTGTGTGTGTGTGTGTGTCAGTCGGTATGTGCATGTGCGTGTGTGTATGTGTGTCAGTCGGTGTGTCAGTCGGTGTGTGTGTGTGTGCTCTGCACTGGAGGCAGCGGTAAACGCAGTCAGATTCTGGACGGATACCTTGATGCCGTCAATACTTTGTCTGCATATCTTGCTCTCACTTACTTTAATACTGAGGTGTAGTGAGCCAATACATGTGGGATAATTTCTAAGTCCCTCGCCCCCCCCCAAAGTCTGGGGATTTTTGGGAGGGGGGGGGGGGGGTCGTTGGGGGTTCAACAACAGCCAACTGAGTCATCTTTCCAGGTTTCATTTCGGATCGCTCTCCTCTCTTCCGGGGAGACTCACGTAACCAGTTTCTGGCAGTAAGCAAGCACAAGCGTATGTGTATGTGTGTCTGTGTGTGCTGTGCATGTGTGTAGATGTGTGTGAATGTTTGCATGTACCAGTGTCTGCTCCAGAGCCAGGTCATCCGTGACCCGGTTGGGAATACAATATATATCAGGGAAAGCTGTCCTAATGTCTGTGGTTCTCGTAGCCATGGCTGACAGTTCAATCCTATTTTAAGCTCGGAGTTGCACTGATGAGGCCTCATTGGCCGAAACAGTCTGGCTGTCTGCATCATTGAGTATTTCACTCCTCGATTTCTATCTTGTAGAGCACTCTCAATAGGGATCTCAGCGCGTGCAGTGTGCAGGGTGTTCGCGCATACATTGCGTCATCGAGTTTTGAGTGCAGCCCGCGGACACAGCAGAAAATGGCAACGGTCGATTTTCGACACTAGCGGAAGCGGTGGACACTAGCGGAATCGTCATCTTCATCGTCGTTCGAACATACTTTGTGATTCCCGCCGAAGGACAGCGTGGCCAAGGCGATATCGCCCCGGTCGATTTCCTATAATTTGCCATGCGGCAAGAACCCACTTCAGAGAGGATTCAGTCAAAAATTCAGACGTTTTCTCCGGTTAGATTGTCTTAACTTCGATTTTCAGTGCATCAGCCATCGCGAACATCGCCGCCATTATCACTCAGAGAGAGGACATCGCGCTCAGTAGAAGAGGTGTTCACGCTGCGTCCAAGAGTGAAATATTGTGCTCTTTGACCCTCCATAGTTCCTCGGAGAGAGTGTCTGGGAGATAGGTAGCTTGGAGATGGCCGTAGAACGTGCTTTCCTGGACGCAACATTCAGCCATTTCTACTGTCTTCTTCAACTTGATTTATTTCGAAAAAAATGTTCTTTTCCACGGTTTCTTCACTGGATGCGTTTGGGATCGAAATCTCATCTGCGCAGACTGGCTGCGCAGTTCACGCGCTGAGATCCCTACTCTCAATAGGATGCACTTGCGCTGGTTACATCGAGCTGTCCTAATGTCTGTGGTTCTCGTAGCCATGGCTGACAGTTCAATCCTATTTTAAGCTCGGAGTTGCACTGATGAGGCCTCATTGGCCGAAACAGTCTGGCTGTCTGCATCATTGAGTATCAGGGAATTCTACAACTCCCTGGTGTACAGTGTACATGCAGTAGCCGCACTTGAACGGACCCGGCTCTGACCCGGTTGCAAGAGTTGTGCCAGGTACACGTGTACCCGCTTGGTTTGAAATCCTAGAGCAGACACTGTGTACGTACGTATATGTGTGAGCATGTGCGTGCATTGTGCGTGTGTTTGTGCTTGTTAGCATATTTCTACTGACCGTCGTGGACTTCTTCCTCCTCCTCGAAGTGGGACAGACCATCTCGTCCCTGATCCCACACAGACCTGCGTTTCTCCTTCTGCCTATTCCTCAATTCCGATACTCTGCGAGCTTTCTTGATTTCTGCTCCGACGAAGTTATCCTTTTGGTTCTGGCGTCGAGCTGCCATTCTACTTGTTGCTGCTGAGCTCATCTTTGTTTCCAGCAACCTCTACTTTTCCAAACAAAATTGGTAAGTCACAATGGAGTCCGATACCCAGGCAAACTGACACCGACTAAACTTTAACAGCAAGTACCAATAAACTATCAGCTACGGCCCTCCAAGGTTAGGGTTTCTCCATCAAGCAAGCTCCTTGACCCATCGACGGCCGAGACAAAACAGCATGCTGCACACTTGTCCTTCTTCTTTGCTCTTACTCCCCGAGCTGCATGCCCGAATCTCAACTGGTTTTGAATTTTTTGATTTTGAATCAGGCGCTTTGATTCGGGCTCCACGGTGCCCGGCCAATCACCTAGCAACAAGGTCAGATATCTAGCGTGGTGTCGCGTGCCGTACATGGCATGACGTCACTATTATCGGAGGCAAGACAACACAAAAAAATATTGTCCACGTGGAGCTGCGTGGATATCTAAACTCTGGCAGACTGGCACTCGTTTTGGCCTCTATCATCTATCTACTCCTTGCTTCGTTGCAACCAACTAACTACGACATGTAACTACTTGCTTGCTTCATTCTGTTGCTATGCCTTATGGGCTTTCTCTGCACGATGAAATCTAGGTGAGGAAATCTGTTCTAAAGTATGAGGAGGTCAGATCCTCTGGTTCGTGTGTTACCTTCCTTCATGAATGACACAATGCGTGGCAGCACAAGAATTTTTTCTTTGTTGGCCTTGATTTTATTTGTATGTCTGCTGATGTGGTACTCGGCACGATCCTCACGAGGAACCGTTAACAATCATCCAACAGTGAAAGTTAGCAAATTACTTCACTCGGGCATTGCTTTGCTGAATGCGGCCGGCGAGGCTGTCGTGGAGCATCGGCATGCAAAGGACCAAGACAAGCAGGTGAAAGGTATGACTAAAGAGGGAAAGAAAGAGTTTGTGACGCTGGCTGATCTGAAGTCTCATGTTATCATCAAGGACAGCATGATGGAGCATTTCCCGGGATTGGAGATCATCTCGGAGGAGCACGACCCTGCAGACCATGACTTCAAGCCGACGTACTTCCAGCGACAGATCACCAAGGACCTGCTGGACGCCACGGTGGCAAACGGCGATACGGCGTATCCCCTGTCGGACGTGGTGGTGTGGATCGACCCGCTGGATGCAACGCAGGAGTACACGGAGATGCTGGACCAGTACGTGACCATAATGATGTGCATTGTTGTGCGCGGCGAGCCGTTGGCCAGCGTTCTGCACTTCCCGTTCTCGAAAACCACCTACTGGCAGTGGGCCGACCACCGCGGCTCCAACAGTCTCAACTCGGTTCTCTCCAAGCGCAGTAAGCTAACCGGTGACGTACGCCGCGTGGTCGTGTCCAGGTCTCATGCCGGTGAAGTCAACGCCACGCTGCTCTCCATTGACCAGCACTTGCAGGTTACGCCAGCAGGTGGTGCCGGCTACAAGGCCTTCCAGCTCATCCAGAACAGCGCCGACGCGTACGTGCACACCACGGCCATTAAGAAGTGGGACATCTGCGTCGGCGATGCCATGCTGAGGCACACTGGTGGTGAGCTCAGATCGCTGAAGACCGGAGAGAGATTGCGCTATGGCGACCGGAACGATTACAAGGTCGATGGTGGCTTCATTGCTGTTGGTAAACAAGGATCTGGTGATGAACTGCTGACTTCACTGCAAAAAAAGTTGCAGAAACGAACCAGTTGATTGACTAGCCGCAGTATAAGTAACTTGTGATCATGCTTTTTATAGTTTTATCATTACATGTGTTACTACTAGTTTCATCTCTTCTCTGCGGGCAGAGTTCGTTTGTGCAAACTAGTGTTAGTAGTGCTGTTAGTTGTTCCGATAATGATGCGTTCCCTACTTGCTCAACATGGCATCATGCCAGCAAGACTTGCCACTTGCTCTGCGTCATGGCATTATGCCCGCAAGGCTAGCTCCACTGTGCGTTGTCACACGTGTTTCACCGCTGAACTGCCTCGGATGTGGCGCTGTTCAATGAATGGTGCCATGGCTGAGCGCAAATCATCGCCATTGTATGTCACTGCTGGGTACTGCTATCAAGCCCACCTGTCCATTCATCCATCTCGCAAACACTTGGCATATACATGCATTTACAATATTGTTGCCTGATGATTGCGAGAGCATGAAGCTTCAAGTCGCAGCAAACAAGCCTTGATTGTCCTTGTTGTTCTGTTCTGCATTTACAATAATTATATTATACTGCACTATCCTTTGATACCTTCTCCGTTTTAGGCAGCGTATTATTATCCATTATTCTGCTTCTGTTTCCTTGAACATCACATGATTTTATAGATGACACAGTCGCTAGTCGCTCACTTCAAAATGATTTGTGTGGTCGGTTTTCTCTCCGTTTCTGTGTGGGGAAGAGGTTGACTTCCCCATACATGATTCTAACAGACTAGTGCGGAATGTCGGTCACCCCAGCTCTGACACAGGTAAAAGGGCAACGGAATGGACTGCAATCGCTTTCACATAGTACCGCATCGCACGCCTTGTGAAGCCTGTTTTTTGAATGCGCGTCTGGTAGTGCATATGGCTTACCTGTGAAAAAATGTCTCTGTGATGGAGTTTCTGGTATACTGCAAGCATTAGCAGGCCACAAGTATTGTAGAGTCTACTCTGTGTGCTTCCTGAGCACTATAGTACCCAAGCAATGTTCCAGTGCTGGCAACTTTTGGGAATCGTGCATTGAAACCAGAGAGTAGTGGAAGTTACACTTACAGTGTAATCAATCCAGCTGCAGGACACTGACTGGGTGCTTTGATCAGGGAGCCGGTCGCGAGACTTCTCGATTGTGATAAAGTCTTCATCTAAAATTGTAACATGGAAAAATGTGGGCACATGTTACAATTATTTTCTTGGCTCACCATCTGAGTTCATCTAAAATAATTAATTATTGTTCATCGATTACTGTAAACTTTTGATGATGAAGGCATGTGGTTGGGGCTATACTTGAATAGTGCAGGGCCTACACAGGGCAGCTTATGTAGCTCTTCCCTGAGATTTGGTTTGTGGCACAAGTCCACTTCAGACTTTCAGTTCAGCTGTGCACAGTGAGATACCGGTCGGTCCTGCATAAAATGTCATGAACTGTGCACAGTCGACTCGTGATGTAACGAACATCAGTGTGCAGGAGAATTAGTTGATTATAGCTGAAATTCTCTATAACAGAAATGCATTCACACTATACAAATAGCAAGTCATGACTGGCATATGGCCCATGACAGTATGAGTGCACTTGCGCGTTTACATGCGTCCCTACAAGATTTGGTTCGTTATACATGAAAACTGCTCGAGGTTAGTTTTGTATGGGTTCAAACAGGGACACGGACAATGGTTCGCTATAAGTATTTTACTATCACGAAATTCACTACAATCATGTGAGTTTGTTATAAGTGGAGTCAAGAGTACAAAAAGGTTTATGTACTCTTGGTGGAGTTGACTGTACAGGTATGCTCACAAGTACAGTACTAGAGCTGGATGCACCTGCCAAAATATGGGACTGACAATTGACCCGCAAAAAAGGCTAGAGATGAACGTTTAATGACGAAAACCATTGATGATTGTCACTAGGAGATGTTCTGGTTACTCTACATTGAACTTCCTTGTGATGCGTGTTTGGCGATGGCGGCACATCTCATCCTAATCTTACCCGAACAATTTGATACTGAAGTATGACGAAGGTGACCACGGGTGCATGCATCCACACAAGTTCACAAATCCAAACAAGAGGAAACTTCTCAAAAGGTATGACACGTTTTCGTTCCCTTCCCGTCAAGGGTACTAGAGAGAATGGAGAGAATAGCCACCACAAATAAAGCACGGAGGTAAAGAACTTCGAACGACAAAGGGGAGAGAAAAATTCTCAGAAAATATAGCAGGGAAACCAGCAGTTTTCACAAGGTGGACATTTTTAAACGGGTTCATGTTCTCCTTTCCTTGGCATTGTCAAAATGAAAATTTAGTTTGTAACCTCCTACCTTCTATAGATGAATAAACAAATGAATGAAGAGATATTCATATGATTGAAAGATTGAAAAGGGGGATGCTCATCTATAAAAAATACTACTAATGAGTCTACTGAAATATTCATAAGATTGAAAGATTGAAAGGGAGATGCTCGTCTATAATAACACTTCTTCGAGTACTAACGTAGCACTGCTGCTACCTATCAATGTCATCGCTGCCGGGTTGGCAGGTTTGCTGCGGCGTGCTTGGCCAGGGCAATTTCATCAGGGGATGGTGTGGAGAAGTCAAACGGCTCTATGTTAGAATCATACTTTGCGACTAATTCCACGGTGGAGAGCACTTTTGGCTGCGGTAAGCGCCTCTTGGCAGGCATCTCCATACATAAGATAAGTCCAAACATAAACGGCTGCTTCTTCAGCTCTATCGGCGGGCCATGAGCTTGCTTTCGTCTCCGACACAATTCATCTGACTCTTCGCGAGCTGAATTGGGAAACGCTGCTCCACGAGAGACCCTTGCAGAACCTGCAGCGGCACCACTTCGTAACCGCCCGTGTGGAGATTCTGGCAATGATGAGCTCAGGCTAGTCATAGATGGGAGAGCTGCATCATCTCCATGTGCTGCGTGGTGTTGGTTAGGCCCGGCCATCGTTTCCTCATTACCGGATTCTTGCAGTGCGAGTGGTTTCGATTCTGTACTAGCACCACAGTGCAAAGACATGGATGCTAGTAGCGGTGTGATAGGTGCTGATAGTCCAACTGACCTTCTGCCAAGTGAATCTACAGCACAGGGTGCTGACACTGGGGTTTGAGATGCTGTGCAGCCACTGAGCTGCTGAAGTGACAACACAGATGGCAATGATGACAGAGACGAAAGCGCCCCTGCAGGCACTGTGGAGCGTTTGTCGGTACCAGGACAGGCTATTCCGGCACCAGTAACTGGTTGCTGAGGCTGCACACTCATTGGAAGCAAATTAAACTGACTATTGACTGCTCTGGTAGAACCAGACAGCTGAGACAGGGAAGCAAGTGATGACAATGAAGCAAGTGATGACAAAGATGCTCCTGTTAACACTCCTACAGAAGACGTGCCGGTTTTAAGTCCACCTAAAGATGACAATGAGGAGGCTGCACAGTCCATTGGTCGATGCTGTGACTTGAGCGAATGTTCATTTTCTGTCGAAGAGGCACCGAGTGGTACACGATGGGTTGTTGGCAACCCAACGGAGATGGCATTACTCTGAAGTGCAGCCAAGGACGATAGTGAGGGGGCAGGGTGACTCATTGGTTGGGGTTGAAAGCACTGAGTATCTGCATTTTCTGACCGGGTGGGCAACGAGGTAAGCGCAGTTGAAATAGAAGATGCCGACAGCCCAGCAGAGCAGCCACCATATCGAATGTCAGCCAACGATGCTAGAGAAGGCCCACTTACATTTACTGAAGAAGAACACTCACTGAGCTGCTGGAGACTTGGCCGAGAAGGTAGAGTTGACAGGCCATGGCAAGCAGATCCTTGACTTGTGTTGTTTTGCTGCTGCTGTTGGTTGTCGGAAAGAGATGCTAGTTGGCCCAGTGAGGGTAGTGATGCGAATAAGTCTGCGTGCGACTTCTGTGCACCTGCAAGCCCATCAGCTGCAGCACATACAAGAAGGCAAGTAGAAGAATAGACCACAACAGTTAGATGGCCAGAGGCTAACACCCCCTATTGCTAACACTATAAACATGGCAGAGGCTAACACCCCTTATTGCTAACACTACAAACATGCCAGAGGCTAACACCCCCTATTGCTAACATTATAAACATGGCAGAGGCTAACACCCCCTATTGCTAACACTATAAACATGGCAGAGGCTAACACCCCCTATTGCTAACATTATAAACATGGCAGAGGCTAAGATCCCAATCACCAACACCGCAACCAAAGAGTCCATCACCCGTTGACACATTTCCTTATTAAGGGGGGGGTCTTCTACTTTGATCATATCAAAACTTTCCTATTCGAGTCCGGCTGGAGTTTTTTTTCTCCCAAAGAGGAGAGATTGTCCTCAGGGTCAATGCCACATGATCTCTTTCGTCACGTGGAAGACGTGAACATAGGGGGCCCACACATACACAAAATAGCCAAACCGTACATACACAATAGAAGACGCTGGACCCTGGCTATGCGCCAGATCAGCATCTGCCAACATCCAGATTTATTCCCAGGGCTATGCGTGCCAAATGCATGTGATATCACAAAGCGAAGTAGTACAATTCGTACCAGACTTCTCCAGCAATATCGGAGCTGATTCCGAATTGTGGCTCGAGAATGTGGATGATGTGAATTTACGTCTACTGCCGTGGACATCATCGATTATGGACAAATCCGTGACCAATTGACCGAGGGCCTGCGACCCCAGGAGCTACGGAAAGAATTGTTGAAAGAGTCAAAGCTGATGCTAGCCATAGTAGCCAATGCCGTGAGCAAAGCTGTTGCACTCGAGTCTTGTATCACGGACAGTAAGCTCTATGGTGACGCTGTAGCTACCCCATCGTCTAATTCATCATCATTTTCTCCGAATCACCGCGTTTCCCACTCCCAGCCTGTCTCTACGCACAAGAATACCAAGATTGGGAAGTGCAAGTGCTGTGGCCGCTCGCATGCAAGAGGCACGCGGCAGTGCCCTGCAGCAGATTCTACTTGTGGCAGCTGCTCAAAAGTTGGCCATTTTACAGCAGCATTCCTGTCTCGCAAGCCCGATAATTATGCGCACATGGCATCAGAACGGGTGAAGGAGGAGCATGCCAACTATTTCTGCGACGACATACTCTCAGTGAGCACTCACTTCCCAGCAGTACCAGCAAATGTTCCGCAAAACGCTGATGGTCAACGGCCCACCCTGTGAGGGATTATTACAGAAGCTACTCCGCGGGTCTGACTGTTGGTGCCCGTCAGGAAGTCAAACAGTGCTCCGCGTCTCTGCGTAGACTACCGTGTGCTGAACAAGAGTGTAGTCCGGGAGCGTCACCTGCTTCCCACCGTTGATGCACTCAAGGCCAGCTGGGCGATGTAACAGTGTTCTTCGTTGTAGATGCTGAATCTGGTTTTCACCACCTCCCCCTGGCCGATTTCCAGTAATCTTGTTCGCTCACTACCTTAGCAGCGCACGAGGATCTCTTCAGATTCGAGAGACTCCCATTTGGCATCGCTGGCGCACCGGAGATATTCCAACGAGTGGTGACTGACATCCTTGCCGGCCTACCTGGAGTAGTTGTCTATATAGATGACAATCTCATCTGCGCTCGCAATCGACATGAGCACGACGAGCGCATGGCTGCCGTCTTCCGTCGTTTGAGCGACACCAATCTGCACTTAAACAGGGAGAAGTGCTGTATGCGCCAGTCGCAAATCCAGTACTTGGGACACTGGCTGAGCAACGATGGTATGCGTCCTGGCGGTGACAAGCTACCGGCAATTCAATAGCCGCAGCTGCCGCACACGTTAAAAGATGTGTGTGATTTCCTTGGTATGGTGACGTACCTTGGCAAAGTCATACCGCAACTTTCACAAACAACTGAGCCGCTGAGGAAACCGGCTCAGCGACAGCCGTTCATCATCGACGATGAGCTGTCAGCCGCATTCAATGGCACGAAGACAGCCGTTGCAGTAAACCAAAAGTGGCAATTAGTTACCTGTGATCTGTGCTACCCGCTGACTGTCCGATGTTGAGTCACAAAGCTTGTGACTTTAAAACTCTTTTCACATGTAGTAGGGTGTCCACGCTCAGATATATTATAATTATATACATAATATATCTGATTGGAAATTTTTATTTTCATTGCTATCAGGTTCGGCCTCATTTCCTCTGTGCTGCGCTGATGAGTTCAAAAAGAACGAAACAGCATGCTGTCCGCAGATTGAGTAATTATTATTATATTCTTAATAATGCAATGAATATAACTAAATGCGCACTCATATCACAACCATGGGGACGAATAATGTATTCCAGAACGTTTTCTTGTCACAATTATCAATGGAATTCGTGACTAAAGAGAATGATGAAACTACAATAGGATTTATACACTTGGAGTGAAACAGCGAGGATACAAGCATAGTAAGAAAAATAGCACAAACCTAGGAGCAATTTGCACAGGTAATAAACTATAGGTGAGGTGAGAAATGATAGGAAATTCAGCAAGTGCAGTGTGACAATGGACATGCATGTGCAAGTGTGTGTGAGTGCGAATTTACTGGAATAGCGTAAGCGCGGTGACATTTTCTTTTTGTTTACAAAGATTTGGATCACGAATGCGAATGTAGACTGCTTCTAGAACTTTCAACTGCTTGAAACTACTTGCAGAACGAACAACACTGAACCAAGAATCATCATAACTTTCACGACACACGGGGTTAGACAACAAATGCAATTTAATTGCCGATGTATTCTTCTTCTTCTGACCGCCTCCGCCTTCACTTGGTTTCTGACCGCCACCGTCCTTCACACCATCTGCACCATCATCGTCATCGTCCTCTTCATCATCGCTGCCACCTTCACCTGTCGTCGGCTCTCCCAGCAACTGACCACCGGGTTCATCATCGTCACTGCACACGTTGCTTCCACACTCCTCCTCCAGCTGCCGTCGCGTTCTCTTCCTGACCGATCTTCCCTTGCCATTGCCAAACACCTGACAGTCGTCAACTCTTCCGCTGGCATCATCCATATCCGGAGAGTTTCGACGCATCTTTCCAGTCACCTCTGCAAACCGAGCTGCCGCCAGCCGTTTGCTCCTTCTCAGCTTTGGAGAGTTGCGGTTGTCTGCGTCCGGCGTACCGGTACTCGCTGATAATGAAGATAAGACACAGTGTTCGTCTTCGTTTACATTAATGTTTGTTCCCGATTTCTGCGTGCTGTGTTGGTTTTTCCGAGACACCGTTTGTGGAGCAGAAGCCTCTGCCGGAACGGACAGTGGAGTCGGGTGCTTACGTGGTTGGCCACGCTTTGGTCGGGAGGACCTAGCCGCCTGTGACAATAGTGAGAGCGGCATGTGTTGTTTGATACGTTCGGACAGATGTTGAAGGGTCCTACCAACATACCGACTACCACATTGTCGGCATTCAAAGTAGTAAATGAGGTGACTCAATTGTAGGGTTGGTAGGACATCCGGTGGCGGTCAGAAACCAAGTGAAGGCGGAGGCGGTGAGAAGAAGAAGAATACATCGGCAATTAAATTGCATTTGTTGTCTAACCCCGTGTGTCGTGAAAGTTATGATGATTCTTGGTTCAGTGTTGTTCGTTCTGCAAGTAGTTTCAAGCAGTCTACATTCGCATTCGTGATCCAAATCTTTGTAAACAAAAAGAAAATGTCACCGCGCTTACGCTATTCCAGTAAATTCGCACTCACACACACTTGCACATGCATGTCCATTGTCACACTGCACTTGCTGAATTTCCTATCATTTCTCACCTCACCTATAGTTTATTACCTGTGCAAATTGCTCCTAGGTTTGTACTATTTTTCTTACTATGCTTGTATCCTCGCTGTTTCACTCCAAGTGTATAAATCCTATTGTAGTTTCATCATTCTCTTTAGTCACGAATTCCATTGATAATTGTGACAAGAAAACGTTCTGGAATACATTATTCGTCCCCATGGTTGTGATATGAGTGCGCATTTAGTTATATTCATTGCATTATTAACCCTTTATTGGCTGGCCTATACATTGATCGAACACCGATGTTCGATGGGGTAGGCATTTTGAAATTATCGTAACTAGGTCAAATCTCGGTCTTTCGGAGAGATCGAAATATGTAGGTCGAAGAGAAAACTCCCAGCTGTCGCCTCGAACAATTTTCAAAGCGATACAATAAGCGGTTCTTGAGTTATAGCACTCGTAATGTTGGTCCCGGGAAATTTGCGCTCAGAGGGCGATGCGTGGGTCAACGGCCGGGATTTTCCCTGCTTACGTCACCTGTTGACAAGACTACACCGATTCAACTTCAAAAGCAGGTTCCCGGGAGTCTCTACGAAATTTTTGAGTTTGATACGAGCAACAGGAGTGAAATGGTGGATAGAGATTGATCTCGAGCGTGAGCCCAGCGCTGGTGGGCCTTCCCTGGCTTGCAGCGATGGGCCAGTGCATCCCGTGGAGTCGAGTGTACGCTCATAGCGCTCCTCTCGCCAAGGCCTTTCCAGGATGCCCAAGATCGTGGAATTTGTCCAATGCAAACTAAAGTTACGTCCAATTTAGTTACAGGTTTGGCGATTGCGTGGGCTTGTTTGTATTTTAATCGGCCAATAAAGGGTTAAGATTATTGTCTCCACGTCGCCTTTTTATATATATAATCAGTGTGAATGGATGTAGCAACTGCGCAGTACGTGAAACGAATACACCGAGTATTCTCGAAGTATTCGTTCGGACAGCAATCGGAAATATTCATTTCGAATTGTAGATAGTTTGGCACATGCATGCACTCATGTGCACTACTGTAGTGTCCATGTGCAGTTGAACGCTTTGCAACACGCGTGACCCGCCAGTCACAAAGTGAGTACAGCAGTGCATGGATTGCATGATTTATTTGCGTGTCGTGAAGGTGAGTGAAGTGCAAGCGCTGTGCACATGTAGAGCAGTGCACTGGCACACAGGCAACATCGACTTTCTTCTTGAAAAAATGTAGACCCACTTGAGTCCACAAGCGAGCTGTATGTACCAGCCAATGGGTCTAACCAGAGCTGTTCCGTTCTCGAAACCACAGCGGCCGGCGGTTTGGAAGTTTTTCCGGAGGCGATTTGTCTTCTGTGGAAACAGAAGCTAGCATAAAGCAGAGGCACAATGTCCAACCTCAGCGCTAGTGCGTCTGTGGACCAAGACTAACATCCGGCCGATCGAGGATGGTGGTCGGAAAGCAGTCTAACTGTCTTGAAGCATCTGGAACCTGACTTATGGGATTTCATCGCGGACTCACATTATAATCAAGAGTATATAACCCCCCAAGAGTGTGCAATTCTGCATACGGGGTCTCCGACGGCGAAAACTCACATCACGTGTCTCAGATACCTTTGTACTACGTACAAACGTAGGATAGCGTGCGCGCAATCCGAAAATCTGCCGTGATCATGCTGGGGATTTGCATACGCGCAGTGAGTTTCTGTCAGAGTGCTTTTTTTAGTACTCCACTGCTCGCAAAAAACGGGCTGGAAACGTACAACTGCGACATTGCACCACGTGATGTGAGTTTTCGCCGTCGGCGTACCCCATAGAAAGGGTATCAGGAGGTGCACACTCTTGGGGGGGGGGGGGGGGGGGGGGTTATATACTCTTGTTTATATAATCACAATTATATCTAGTCAGGAAGTAGTACGATGATGGATAGCTCTGTGTTTACCGGTGATATTAGCACTGAGTGATTTTGTACGAAGTGTAGACTGGTTGGTATGTTTGGAAAGGGGACTAAAACTAGTATGTAGCTAGAATTTGACTCTAGGACGACTGGGAAATAGCCCCAACTGAGTTGGAATACTTAAAAAATGTGACCGCTATGGATAACATGTAAACCTTTGGTCCTTTCTTTTTGATATAAATCCCTTGGCTATCCATCCAAGTCAAATTATTGTACATGTTGAATATTCGATATGCAAAAAAATAAGATTCGTTCCGATTTAGAATATTTCTTTCACCACTAGCACTATAAAGTACTCTGGATATTACATACCGACTGGTATGGGATATAGATTATAGATTATAAAATACTGTTTTCGACGACCCTGCATATTGGACTCGGATGGAGAGCCAAGGATAAAATTATACTATAATATAGTAAAGAAAAAAAAGGACCAAGAAGCTACAAGTTACGCTATAATGTCCACTAACACCACCAGTTACTATTAAAACTAGAGCTAGAAGTAGAGCTGTTAGCCAGTTAGTTGTAGAACGCCAGTACCGTCGGTCAGTGTCGTGAAATGTTATCGCATGAGCTGATTGTTTAGTAACTGGTGGTGTTAGTGGACATTATAGCGTAACTTGTAGCTTCTTGGCCCTTTTTTTCTTTACTATAAACCCTGCATATTACTATACGGTCACTTGATATTCATTATTGGTTTCATGGGGTTGAAAAACCTGAAGAAAAAAATCACCCTTGGATTTGCAGTGCCTCAGCTAGAGTACCGATTTATAGGGCGGTTGGAGGTGCGTTATAGTGAAGTTTCACTGTATTGTTCTTGACCGTCACAGGATCAGCAAAATTCCTTCGAGGAGTAACAACAGCAAGTATTCCAGCCTACCTCGAGCTCCTGGTGGATTTCCATTCATTTCTGTATCAGCAATACGGAACGCCAGTGACAGGAACGAACAACACGCACGAAGCGGCTACGATTCAGAGTTTAAAACAACCACTAGTAACTGACCTTCACAAGTCAAAGGAACACAAGACAGTACTGATACTACAAGTAAAATGTGACTTCTCTCTCGATCTCTTCAACTCTCAACTACAGTATTTTATTTTTGAAAGCTAACTTTTCCATTCAAAATCATGCATTGCATGATACCGTATACGCGTACCGTACCGTAACCTTGCACTTGTTTTTTTGTCTGAAGCGTCAGCAGCACCGGCTTGGCCGAGCCGATTGTTCCGTCCCGGGGCCCCTCCAACGATTTTGCCCAAGAATGCAAGATGGGCAGGGCTGCTGATGCCCATCCTATCCTATCCTACATGTGCCTGTGGGCAGGTCGAGGTCTACTCACCACCCGTTTGAAGGGAGTACTAAAACAACGGGTTTTAGTACTCCCTGGTACATGTAGTCTGTACATGGTGTGAACTGCAGACTGTACGAGCTGCATGCAGCGCAGTGTGCATGTGCAGGTGTGCGGTTGAAGCTCCGGATCGATAGCGGATATCGGATCGGAGTTGAGTAGCGCCACGGACTTGGCTTCCGTTTTATTTTTCTTGGCCATCATTTTGATCTTTGTTCATCTTCTCAGTTGCTGTTCTAGAATTCTGGTGGTGGCAAGCAAAAGCTGTCGTTTCGAATAGGGCGAACTGAATTCGTTCTTTAGTTGTTTGGAGGAAACGACCATAATTTTTTCTCACCATCGGTGGCTAACTTCCGCCTGTAACCATGGGGTCTCTCTTCCGATCGGAGGAGATGACTTTGGCTCAGCTTTACTTGCAGTCTGACGCCGCATACCATTGCCTGAGCGAACTTGGAGAGTTGGTATGAGCGAGTGAAAGCGTTTCACCTTCAGAGAATTTTGTACCAACTTTGCTGTTTTGTTTGTGCGTACTTTCCCTTGTTGACAGGGTCTGGTTCAATTTCGAGATGTAAGTTTGTCTTCGTACCTCCACAGTGACCGACGGTCTTACCTGTGTGTTTACACATAGACTTTCTTCTCAAAGCCAGTGGGGAGAAGGGGGATCAGGGCGTAGATCTGCTAGTGGTGTGATCCACAATGTAATTTGCGATCATAGGTCAGTCAATTCTGCGACAATAGAATAGCGCATGGCACAGCAAGCTACTTCCTGTCACCAAATTAGAGTATGAGGGTGTAGGCTGGGATATACGTGAAGCGGAAGGTTCTTGCGACTCTGCGGAGAAACATCATCCCGAGATCGGTATTCAGAATGTGTTAAACACTGGAGCAGGTGCTTACAACCCTATGTTTGTTCTCTATGCGGAGTTGCATGTACAGTGCGTATCGGTTATAGTGTGGTCGTATACAAGAATATTCTGCTTACAAGAATGAACACTCATTTTTTCATAATCATAACACATATTTTATGTGTATGTTTATTCTTACAAGCAGTATTATCGCATAGTAGAATATATCGGCCCTAAGAATGGATTTTGTGTAGCAAAATATGCCAGATTAGTGCAAAGTGTATCGCCTGTAGTAATAACATCTGTGCTCTGTGCATACTCAATACAATAATATTCAACACAAAAAGAGAGTTATGTCCAAGGGAGCATTGGAGAATCACTTTTTCTGTTCAGTCGGACTCTTTCTTCCGACTTCTCTCGTATCCGCTGCTCCGCAGTCGCCTAGCACGACCGCGAGTCTGATTGATCCGTGTGTACGTGTATCATGTGTACGTGTCTACATGCCAAACGTGCGCGCATACATGTACATGTACATGTACATGTATGATGTCACACGTGCATATGATATGTCACACGTGATTTATCGTGTGTAAGAAATATCGGCAATAAGAATCAAATGTCGTTTTTCAAACACCCACGCTATAACCGATACCTACTGTAGTTTGTTCTTCAGTGTCCATCCGGTATTAGGGAGGTTTCGCTCTACGGAATCACGTATGAAAATAACGTAGGAACTGCACGGAATTTTCATACGTAAAAATCAGAGCTGTTGGGTTTCGCTCTACGTGATTTTTCCACGATTGCTAAACATGCGTTGTTGCTTTGGAGACGCGTTGGCTGCATGCGCCCACCGCATGCACCATGAACCGAAACCGCATTTTCCATTTTATTTTGCACGTGGTGTACGGTGTGTGTACCTTGTGTTTCGCGCGGCTTGAATGTTGCCATGGACAAATGCGGAAAATGCGAAAAATATTTCAAAAAGTCCTACGGAGGACCCAACGTAGGAAAGTGCTTTCCTACGGAAATCCGTAGAGACATTTACGTATGAAAGTTGCCCTCGCTCCCCGGCGCGTACGACATACGGATTTTCATACGTAATTACGTAGAGCGAAACCTCCCTATTATCGATAATTTTAACAGAATAAGAAAGTTTAGTTATGGCCCACCCCCACCGACCAAGCTCTGAAGTGGTGCTGTGAGTGCTACATGACAGGAATAGGTCGAACATCACAGCCTAGTATTGCTGGTATCCACCTAACTTGCACTATGTCATTTTCTATCGCTTTGTCCGGGTGCTTTGTATCGTCCTTTGCCGACTGTGTAGCTTAATCCAGATTTAAATGCCTTCAACCGTCACTATGTCACGGAGGTGCGGAGGTTGGAGGAGCTGGAGCGTCGTCTCAGTAAGTTTTTTTGCTGCCGCTATTGTAGTGTTGCTTGACCAGGCAGCTTCTCGCTTCATGGTTTTTACATCATGTTGCGAGGGTGGGGGACAGGTTACAACGACGGTTAGTTACGTATACGATCATGTATTTGTCTTTCGAGCGTCGGAGGCAGGCAGCTACACAATTCAGCAACGGTTCGGGCTTCGGTATGTGCCAGCCCGTATGCTCAGTGTGTAGGTGTGCGTGTATGTGTGTAGGTGTGTGTAGGTATAGGTGTGGTGGTGGGGTCTGTGTTATTCGTTGGTTATGCATTGCGCTGTGGAAAAAAACTCTGCTGCGTACCGCTGCTGATTCCTTTCTTACTGCTTGTGACCTTGCAGGATATATGGAGACGGAGATTGAGAAATCCAACATCAAAATCTTGGACCCCAGCGTTGATCCCGATGCGCCTCCTCCATCAGACATCATTGAGCTTGAGGTTAGTTTAGTGCGGAGGACTACTGGAAAGCGTGAAATTTTCGCGGCGTTTTAGTTCGCGTTTTCAGAATCCGGACAGGTTTGCGAGGTTTTAATTTTGCGATTGCAGAATTTGCTACTGTGGCATTCATGCTAAACCTTTTATGGATCTCCTTTTCGCGCTGTCTAAATTTCGCGATTCCCACGCGGTCGCGAATTTCGCAGAAATTAGACCATGGCAATAATTTCACGGTTTACAGTATATGCAACGTGTACCGAGACGGAGATGCATGCAGTAGAACCGGGAAGGTGTTGGGAGTAGCAAGTGCCACGGCTGTTGTAACCCACAATGATCACCTCTTGTGTGTGAAACTCAGTCAAAAGTTGACTTGTAACACTTTCTGCCTCTTCTTGCTGTTGCAACCTACGTAGTTGAGAATTCTGGCAAATATTCTATTTTTCACTTTTGCTCTGACCAAACCAATAACTCTGTGTATATGTGTATGTGAATGCTTATTTGCTTGCTTGGCATGACACAGACACAGTTTGAAAAGCTGGAGGCTGAGATCAGAGAGATCAACTCCAACCAGGAGCGTCTCAACCGCAATTTCCTGGAACTTACGGAGCTGAAGCACATCCTGCGCCAGACGAATAGCTTCTTCTCTGAGGTAAGGTGTGCCGTAATAACTGATAGCGCTACCCTAATTTTTTCCTGCTATCATTTCCAAGCAGTGAATACATTTCTTTCTCATGTCCATGTAGCCAGTGTCTCTCGCATTCCTCTATTTCTCTCTTATCCCCCTCCCTCCTTAGGAACACATTTGATCACTTGACAAACCCGACTGGATTTCCAGGAACCAAAGCACATTTAGTGACTTATCACTAGTTGTAGTAGTACTCACTGCATCCTAGTCTCCTAGTCCAGGAGAAGTTCCGTCGCACAAACGGTGCTAGGTTAACGTAGGTCATCTCGACCACTAAACACACCTGGTACTTGATTCTCACTTTCAGAGGAAGATCTTTGCTTATGTTTGACATGTGCCGGTTGGTGTGGTTGTGTGTGGATGCGTATGCGTGCACACCTCCGTATGTGCGTGCGTGTGTGCAGGCTACTTCTGCCATGAACAACGGTTCGAATTCCGTCCGGGAGGATGAGGCAGGTGAGGATAATCGTACAATTTAAACACTGATACAGCACAGCGGTGTATGCAATACTCAGTTAGTACATCATACACAAACATGTAGAGCACAACAGCTTGCCCAATGCTCAGTTTTGGTTGATGCAGGCGGTACTAGGCAAAGTCTGTTCTTGCCGCTTATTCGCCTTTCAACGAATAAGCATTCTGGTGTTATCTGCCATGCCAGCCAATCGGCATTATTGAGCTATGTCACATAATGTGCCGTTACCTGTGCCTGACTGTTCCAACCCCGAATCACTACATTTGATTGTGTGGTTTGTGCCCTATTTCCATTGCCACATCGTGGCATGCCAGGTTTTCTTGTCACCATTGTTTTACCACTGCCATGGGTGCCTTTGATGATGCCCAGTCACTGCCATGGGGCTGGACCGCCAGCAGCATGCTAGCAATGCTTCAACACAGGGTCAGCCTTGATCTACTTCCACAGAGCAGGTTGATGCCATCAATGCATCATAGCCTGTCTGCCAGGTATGCGTTACCCTGCATTGCTTGCTGTCCTCTTCTTTTGTGAAGCGCAGGCACAGCATATCTGAAGCAGTGAGCTCATGGTCATGTGCACCTGCATGTCACGCTTGGCAATCAAACTATCACTGAGCCCTAATGTGTGTAGTTTGTCGTTTGCCTGGGCACAATCTGATTTTCGTGCAATGATCACTTGAACTTGTGATACATGTAGTCTTGCAAGGCGCCATCCTCAAAGTGATGATTCTCGGCTATTCTCCAATTTTGCATGAGATGCATGTCAGTCACTTCATTTGCCTGCTTATACTTTGTGCCTTTTGCCTGTGGACATGCAGGTCTTTTGGATGACACGCGTTCTCGCAGCAGCCAACTCTCGTAAGTGATGGCTAGCACTAACAGCGCTGGACTGTGCACCGATACATTTAGCTGTTGATATTGTCACAAAATGAAGTATTAGTACATTGTAAATGCTGCTATTGTGTATAACAAGGATGTGGGCACCCTGAACACCACTCTCTCTCCCTTTATCTCTCTCTCTATCTATCTATCTCTCTTACCCTCTCTCTCTCTCTCTCTCTCTCTCTCTCTCTCTCTCTCTCTCTCTCTCTCTCTCTCTCTCTCTCTCTCTCTCTCTCTCTCTCTCTCTCTCTCTCTCTCTCTCTCTCTCTCTCTCTCTCTCTCTCTCTCTCTCTCTCTCTCTCTCTCTCTCTCTCTCTCTCTCTCTCTCTCTCTCTTGAAGAGCAGTGTGATTGTATGAGCTGCACTGTGCGATGGTCCGGATATATGCCACGCACTATGCAGTTGGTTCTATTCTCTCTTCACCTGCTAATGGTGACTATCTGATACGTTTCCCCACAGCTTTGTCGCTGGTGTGATCAACCGTGACCGTGTTCCCACTTTTGAGCGTCTGCTGTGGCGCGCTTGCCGTGGAAATGTCTTCTTGCGCTACAAGGAGATCGATGGTGAACTCAAGGACCCCGCAACTGTGAGTTTCCTGATTTTAGTCAGGTTCATTCACTTCATTGCTATTATGCCGATTGCAAGAGAGAGAGAGAGAGAGAGAGAGAGAGAGAGAGAGAGAGAGAGAGAAACTGAAAGAGAGAGAGAGAAACTGAAAGAGAGAGAGAGAGAGAGAGAGAGAGAGAGAGAAACTGAAAGAGAGAAACTGAAAGAGAGAGAGCTCTATTTGACAACTTGTTGTCCTTTGCTTCACTTTGTTTCTGGTGCTTCTAGGGTGACCCTATGTTCAAGACTGCCTTCGTCATCTTCTTCCAAGGCGACCAGTTGCGTACCCGTGTGAAGAAGATCTGCGAAGGGTAAGCTTTCTTGCACTTGGTCCTTAGGTCCGCCATGGAAACTGCCTCCACAATGACGATCATTTTTCTTAGCATATGACATGGGACCATCAGGTTTTCCAGCATGCCCATACAGTAAAATTATTAGTAATTGTTACGGGTGCGCCGAATCCAGTGACATTGAACTGATTGAAGTAACACTGCGAGTACGCTCATATCTCGTTTATCCGGGCGGCCCGGGACCGAGCACTGCCCATAACTTTAAAATGTCCGTAACTCTGAATCGCATACATTTTTATGGGGAAAGGCCATAGATGTGTCATATGACATCACTATTTCAACCAAAAGCGACAAATGAGTAGTAATATTTCCACTAAAACTCACCCAAAGGGTGCCCGGCAGACCGAAGTGCCCGTAACTTTGGGGTCCGGATAACCGAGGTATGAGTGGAATTGTTATGAGTGCACAGTGTCCAGTGAAGAGCTTTTTCTCACATGATCATGATCTTTCACTGTAGATTTTTGTGATACTCTACATGTATGTGAAAAGAGTGAGTCTCACCATGTGTTTTTTATTCCACTGTGGCTGAAGTACCAGTAATCATCTCATCGTCGTTTTCTGCCATTCTATCTATAGTTTCCGCGCCACTCAGTATCCATGCCCGGACACTGCTGCTGAGCGCCGTGAGATGGCAATGGGCGTTGCCACCCGTATTGAGGATCTCAGCACCGTGTTGAGCCAGACCCTGGACCATCGCTATCGTGTTCTGCAAGCCGTGGCCAAGAACTTTCGTGCATGGTCGATCAAAGTAAGCCCACTTGTTTGCGACCACTATTGTTTGTAAGGCATTCTACCACGTGTGTTAGTCGTGGCATCTGCTGATGGAATTTTGCTGAGCCAAAGTCACAATAGTTGGTAGTTGTGTTAGCACGTGGCTGCAGCTTCACCATGTCTGCTGTATTTGAATTGCGTTCAGGTGACCAAGATCAAGTCTATCTACCACACGCTCAACTTGTTCAGCGTCGACGTCACGCAGAAGTGCTTGATTGGCGAATGCTGGTGCCCCGTCACCAATCTCGACGAAATTCACCAGGCCCTCCGCCGTGGACATGTACGTTGTGTGGACGATACCGTACTTCCCCACATATAAGCGCATGCGCTTATAAGCGAAAATTTGCTGCAAAAAAGATCTTTGGCTGTGTAAACATGTTCGGGTAGAAGCCCATGCGCTTATATGCGCAATACAGGTTTGTCTGTGTCCTAAACAATGGTGTCATCACACTACTTAGTGGTATATTTCGCTCCCGCCTTTTCACCAATAGTGTTCACATATAAGCACATGCGCTTATAATTGAGGGGTGCGCTTATATCCGGACATAAGCACATGCGCTTATATGTGCGGAAGTACGGTAATAATTATGGTTGTTGTGTGTTGAGTAGGTGCTGGTTGGATTGCCCGAGATAGAGATACGTCATTGTTCATCTGCATTGGCATACCAATTTAAAAGTACTGTTAACTTGCTATCCACCGGGAAGACCAAGGGAATGTCAACCTAAAGGCAGATTTCTATCCTAGAATCAGGGGAGCACAGCTCACTATAGGCTCGACGTGTTGCTCCTGACGACCAGCACAATAGTCAATACTTGTACAATCTCCCCGACCCCACCCAGTGTGAATGCCCTAAGAACGCATGTACACTACTGCAGACTTTCATGTGAGAAAATGCACAGGAGTGAGCAGTCGGTCTCCACATCCTTTTTGAGGAGAGGGATAGGAGAGTGCAGCATTTTTTAATATATCCAGAAAAAGAAGAAAAAAAGAAATCTCGGCTTGCGTGAGACTCGGTCAGACTGAGTTTCCGCATCTGCAGAAACGCCACCACCCTCAAGGGTCAAGACGCAGATGCAGCTCCTAAAACGGTGGGAGGTGAGTTGATCAGACCCACCACCAAGTGGTCCGAGACCGACAATCCCACTCGCTCCATTTTTTAACTGTGGGTCGTTGGCACGATTGGAAAATCCTTTCACTTTCATGCTGGACTTGAACCTGGTATCCTCTGTTTCTCAGTTATGATCTTAGACCATCCCATTTACCGTAAATTCTTACTCAAGGAACAACAAATAAACAAGGAAATCAAGTTCTTCTTTGGCGAAGCTAAAGATTAGCGAACTCGCCCTTTTCACCAGCACACAAAATATGGGGCCATCCGGCATTATCGTTAATTTTCACGGAACAAGAAGTGTAGTTAGGGGCCGTCCGGGGTTACCGATTGTTTTTACAAAACGAAAAGTCTTAGTATTTTTCAGCACCCACCCACCCACCCACCTTTTCTGCAGGTAAAACGAATTCCAATAAAATATTGATGTCAATTTTCGACACCCAGAAGTAACCGGGCATTCTCCATCAGCATTCAATAATTATTTTCAAAACGAAACTCCATCAAACCCACCCACCCACAAACGAAAACATTTCGTTTTGAAAATATTATTGGTAACCTTGGACGGCCCCTTATGACCCTCCCTGACCGAAAATAATGACTTGACGGCTAGCGTGGATTGATGTTTCAGCTATCAATATTTTTCAAAACGAAACTCTCCTCGACCTAAACATAAACAAAATTTAATCCTTTACCGTTTTAGGTATTTGTACAGCAAAAACCGACCGTCATTGTTCATGCCGTAACTGTTTTATTTTTCACTTTTATTATGTACAACATAGGGTGATTCTGAAAGTAAAAACCCTCAGGAATGCGATGCAACAACTTTCAAATCCAGGAAACGAACACAAATTTCACTATTTAGCACTAGTAATTATTTGGATTTAGGGGTCGTCCATAATTATCGAACTTTTTTCACAAAACGAAATAATTTCGTTATGGGGTGGGAGGGAGTTGACCAATTTCGTTTCAGAAAACATTGATACATGTGCATGCCATAGGAGCAGTTACACACTAGCAACTTTTGTTGTATTATGCATGCATGTCAAACTTTTTTTACGTTCTGAGGGGGAGGGAGGGAGGGGTTGGGTCTAAACTAAAATAATTCGTTTGGTGAAAAACGTTCGATGATTACGGACGGCCCCTTATTGCCGATCGGGCAAATTGTTGCAATACGAAATAAATCAGATTCTTGCACTGGAGTGGCTCCCTCAGGTAAGTGGATACCAGGTTCGTTCTCTGGGTGGAATGCAGGAGTGTTACCAGTCACAGCGGTGTCAGTATTGTTCCAAGTGTTGCAAATATCGACTAGTGCAGGTTGCACCGCTGGCTGTACCTAGTACCTGTACACCACAACCTCTGCCGTGACCACAGCCTATTCCATGGCCGAATCCTCTCTCTCTGCCATGTCCCCTTCCACCATTAGTAGCACTTATCTCAGCGACACTGTCGTCGTCCGTGACATCCATGTCACTCTCACTGGCGCTGCTTTCACTCGCCATGTCATCGTCGCTGTCGTCGTCAGAATAAATATTTTCAACAGGATCGTCTGGCTCCACAAACTCATCTTCGCTGGATGAGGCGGCGACAGGGTCGTCAGGAAGGGTCTCCAGAAGGGTCTCCAGAAGCGAAAGGCTTACTCTGCGTCCATGGCTTGCACAGCAGGGCAGACAGTCGCGAGGCCAGCTCAAGCAAAAGTCGAAAACATCTACAGGCAATACCAAAAGTCGCAGGGTACGCACTTTTCCCAAAGCGCATTTTTCAAGTCGCGATATCCGCGATTTTTTATATTGCATCACACACAAAAATTGTTGGCACCCTCTGCGCGTACATCTTCGCTACCAGTAGGGAAAATCCCAGATCTCTGCGGTGAACCAGTCCAGCGCTGTGCACATAGAAGTCATCGACCGCTAGTGGTCGAAATTTGTACGTACCAACGGTAAAGGGTTAACGTAAAATATCTATAATAAAGACCACTAATGCTAAATTACCCGGTTGACAGACCTTCAGAAGAAGTCTTCTCTTATTTTGTTGTCCTTTGCTGTCCAGGATCGCAGTGGCTTGAGCGTGATGCCCATCCTGAATGTTATGAAGTCCTCTCATACACCACCGACTTACAACAAGGTCAACAAATTTACTCATGGCTTCCAGATGATCATTGACGCCTATGGTGTGGCATCCTACCAAGAAGTCAATCCTGGTATGCTGCACCAATGTCAATATTCTCCTTTCTTCGCTCAAAACCATTATCTCTCTCTCTCTCTCTCTCTCTCTCTCTCTCTCTCTCTCTCTCTCTCTCTCCCTCTCTCTCTCTCTCTGTTTATTTGCCTATGTCTGGGTTGGCGGCTGGCTATCTGTCTGTGCCGGAGTCCACTTATAAGTTGGACATGGTGACTGATATGTGAACTACTTGCTGCTGCCATGTCTTGCTCATCACTGACATTGTGACATGTGTGATTGCGCTCTGACTTGTTCTCGCAGCTCCCTTCTCCATCATCACATTCCCGTTCCTGTTTGCTGTCATGTTTGGTGACTTTGGTCACGGCCTGGTCATGTTTCTGTTCGCCCTCACCCTGATTCTCAAGGAGAAAGCTCTTTCCAAGCAGAAAGGAGAGGTACGAAATGGTGCTTTGTGCTTGTTCTACATGTACTCATGATGAAGTCTGACTCTTTCTGTCCGCTTTTTGTATTATAATGCGTGTCGTGTGTGTGTGTGGGGGGGGGGGGGCGTGCTCTTTCTCTCTCTCTGCTGCCCCTCCGGGGCCCACGTGACCCTAGTGGTAGTGGCTCTACAGGACAGGTGTGTGTGTGTGTGTGTGTGTACCGGTATGTGTGTACCGGTATGTGTGTATTACCAGGAGTGGCATAGGGCGATGGAGTAATCACATGCTCAGTGTTGAAAGCAAGGAGAATATTGTGTTTTTTCTTCTATAATAATTATTATTCTTTGCAGATCTTTGGATCTTTCTTCGGTGGTCGTTACATCATATTACTCATGGGTGCATTCTCCATGTACACTGGTCTTGTGTACAACGACTGCTACTCGAAATCCTTCAACATCTTCGGGTCGTCTTGGTCTGTGGGTGAAACGTAAGTTGACCAGTGCGCATGCTGCGAAGTACAGTGCATGCCCATTGTAGTGATTTGCGGGTATGTGGGAGTACAATGTACATGTGGTATGTAATACCACAGTCATCCATCTTTAATCCGGCTCTTTATAAACCAGCACTCTCAATAAGCCAGCATAATCTTCAGTAACCAAAATGTCCTCTTTCTGCACATTGCAGTAGTGAATCAGATTTGCTGATCTAGCACCCTCCCTAATCCAGCAGAACTTCCGTAGCACAAGTGATGCCGGATTATAATGGGACCGCTGTATGTGAATATAATTTCTAGCATTGCCCGATGTATTGTGCGGAGATTGCAGTGCATGTGATAGCATGTGTGGGTGGGTGGGTGTGGGGGAGGAGGGGTTGAAGCAGTGGTAGTGCACGCAGTTTCTACAACGTTGTACATGTATCTCATTATCCACCATGCGTGTATCACTCTGACTGAGCTGTTCCACTGTGCCTGTGTCTGCCTCAGGGAGCTGCACAAGGTACAGACTGATACAATCACGCTGAACCTTGACCGGGACTTTGCTCGTCACAACCCATACCCGTTCGGTCTGGACCCGGTAAGCTGATAGTACCAAGTGCACAGTAGGCGTATACTTGTCACTTCTTGTTGCTCACCGCACACCTACATGTATAGTGCTAGGTATGCTTGAGACTTTCGGTGGGAGCCGTGCTTGTCACGAGGATTGGCATTGTGTATGTCCACTAATAGGTTTGTCCCATCGATTCGTTCCTTCTTGATGTCCGTTCATCCAGGTCTGGCAGCTGGCTTCCAACAAGCTCAGCTTCACCAATTCCTACAAGATGAAGATGTCGGTTGTGCTGGGCGTCACTCAGATGATGTTCGGTATCGCCCTGGGTATCTTCAACCATCTGTAAGTACTCTCACTGATCACAATTATCACTACAATACTCATGCAGCGCTTTACTGTACTAGTGGCCTAAGAAGACAGGAAATCAGCAGTGGGTTTTTGGCCACTGCGTTGCCCAAGTCTGCGGTTACAGTCAACCTGCCCTTATAACGATATTACCCTTGTAACGATATTTTTCTGCCAAACAAAATCACTCCATTGACTTTTGTATACAACGCCTTACCCTTATAACCATATTACCCCTATAACGATATAAAATAGGCTGACCACTCTGCATTTTCCCATTATATAACAATATCTAGCAGGGAATATGCAGAGGCCACTATCCAGGTAGGGCAAGCTTCACTTGATAAGTCGCTGGGACATGACGAAATGCAATAGGGGCACCAGTAATGCCTTGCTGTGTACACAATGTGCGTAGAACATACATGTACCTTAGTTTTGATGCTAAGAAGGGTGTAAAAAATGAGCAAAAATCATGCATTATGACTTACATGTATGATTTGTACCAGTACCCTTATAACAATATTTCTTGGTCTGACGCAAATATCGTTATAAGGCCAAAACAAAAAATAGGCTTGTTTCCGGTCGGCAACCCCTCAAAAAGGAGACTCGGTCGGCCGGAATGAAACTTTTTTTGGATACTTTTTTTTGGTTCCTCAATCGTTGTGGTATTGATGGACAAGAGCACCTACACATGTACATTGTACATTATATCATGGCAAGGATCAATGTCAAAGTTGACTGACTCACTGTTCTTGTACAGCATGTGGTGTATTCCTGTTTTCGTACATCCTGAGAAATCAAGCAAACATTTCGAGTCCTTCCAGCTCCGTTATTCTAGCTCGTATCGAGCCCGGAGGTTTTCGAGCCGACAGCTGAGAATCTCTACTACCTTGTAGGTGTTTCGATTGTGGAATTCGGTTGAGATTTGACTGAGTTATGACTCGTTGAGTGCACTTGCACACATGGCATTGCCACCGTTTGTATACATTTGGGACCAAAAAAAGTTTCAGAATTTGGGAAAAAGTGGCCCGGTCGGCCGACCGGAAACAAGGTCATTATTTGTTTTGGCCTAAGGGTAGGTCGACTGTATAATCGATTTGTTGGTATGCTACGTGCAGTGCATCACAAATGATCACTACAACCTATTTTCTGCATTATGGTATCTGTCTCCATGGTCCTTGCATATCGCCAAGAGTCCATAACCCCCCCAGAGTGTGCAACTCCAGGTTGGGGTCTGGCGCAACGAAATCCAAACATTGCGTCATCCGGTCCCCGGGCAAGCATGGGCGGATGGGGCCATGTGCATATCTGGTACATCGGGCGGGGGTTCCAAGTACAAAGTTGAAGCAAGCCACGGAAGTGTCACGTAAAACGTTTGCTCCACGGGCTATGCAGTACAGCAGTGTCAGCAGAACGGCTTTGATTTCACAGTCACAGAATTTTTTTATTTGAAGAGAGTTTCTCTGCTCGTTGTCTGAAAAGCTTGTATTGGGAGAGTTCGTGACTCCGGGATAGCAAGAATAGGCATGGATATAGATTTACAAGATTTGATGGAAATAGCTCTTGGCACACGGCATGAAGACCCGATCGATTTCGAAGTAGATGTGCTTCAACCTGCTCCTCAGTCCCATTTTGGTACAATTTCCAACACTCGACAATCGAGAGAAGAAAATGAGGAGCCCAGATCGAGCAAAAACTGACGAATATCGTCCACAGAGACACTGCACTCCGGCGACAATGGGGAGCGCTTTGCTTTAGGTTCAACAGTGGCCATTGTTCTTCTCTTATCGGAGAGACACTCAAAAAAGAAAACTGTTCGACAACTCTAAAATAATTCTTTGTGTACTTAACGTACTTGAGCCTTTCAGGCGTGTTACGTGGCCGTGGATTCGTAAAGAAAGACCCCAAATTGGGCAAACGGGCGAAGTAGGTCCGGGCCAAACTTCCCATTTCGTCATAGCTACTCACTACATGACGTATGAAGTTTGGATTTCGTTCCGGCACTGATTTGTGCTGAGAAGGATCACGAGTTGCACACTCTGGGGAGTTATGGACTCTTGATATCGCTCTGTACTGTATAGGTTCTCCATGTGTGAAGGACACAAGACACAAGTTCTTGCCGATAGTCCTGTATTTACAGTGTTGGCTACGCTACTTTCTTGCCTGCTCTTTTGTTTGCAGTCATTTCCGAAACCATGTCAATATCTGGACTTCATTTGTACCAGAGGTAAGTTATTACTGTGGGTCAGAGCAATGAAAAAGCATCACACAAAGCAAAAACGAAAAACTAACCAGGAAATAATACCAAACACAGGCACAAAAGCAGAGAATGGAGCAAGGCAACACCCATCACTAACTGGATGCAGCTCTTTCTCCGCAGCTTCTCACGTGTGTTTGAGCTGCCAGCCCGGACTTCCATTATCAATGCTTAGATACCTGCAGTAACTGTCGCACACACCTGATGCTGTTATGGAGTCCTCCAACAATTTGCTGAGGTTAGTGCATGCCTTATCGCTTGCTTCGGCTCTCCAAGCACCGGGGACGAGATCATCAGATTTGTCACACGAATCAACAAATCCTTGCAGGGCGTACCTGGAGAAATTCCCCAAATGGCTTGCGTTGCTGGCTTTCATGAGATAATTATGCGTGGCCACACATGCTTGCACAATCAGGTGTACGACCTCCAGTGATGCCTTGATGGTTCTTCGTGGGATCTTCCACCTGACACTTAGAACGCCAATTGCATTCTCAATCGTTCTGCAGGACCTACAATGTATGTAGCCATACAGCAAATCAGGAGAAGGGAAGCGCTAGAGATGTTTATACGATTGTACCTTGACAGCCTGTAGTTGAAGATAGCCTTTTTCCTCAGACAAGGTGTCCTTTTTTCCGTCCAGGGTAAGGCTTAAGAAGCCAATACTTCAGAGGGAAAATCTCATCTCTGACCAACACGTATGGCAAGGGGTCACCATCGTCCTCCACGGGCACTGTATCTGGTAAACCTGCTTGTCCATCAGCGAAGCACTGACCAAAAACTGATTCCTCGAAGTGTAAAAAATTCTAAAAATGTGATACCGTAAGTTCTACCTAAAACATGTCATCAACACTCTAACAAAAAGCACACAAGGACTGAAACAAGCAATGCTGTACCTGAAATATGGTGGCATCGTTCTCATGGCCATGAGCACAAGACTGTGGAACACCTTGTAATTGGAATACAATGAGCCACTCTTTGGCCGTGCCCGCATGGCCACATGCTTGCCATCTATTGCACCAACACAATTGGGAAAATCCCAACTGGCCTGGAACTTGGTGGCGATGGCCTCCCACTTGGCTGGCATGCTGAGAGCAGCAACGGATTTTGGCCCGAACACCTTCCATAGTGCCCCCCCCCCCCCGCATGTCTCACGGACAATGTAACAGACAGTGATCCTTCCGATGTAAAGTTAAACGACTGGCTTATTCGCGAATCTCCTGTTGCAAGATACCGCAATGTCGCCACCAGCAGTTCTGCAGCTGATATAGGCTTGCGCCGCATATTCTTCCGAGAGCGTCGTGGGAGATGCTCTTCTACCAATCCCAACAAATGATCAAGCCATTCAGGTGCCATCCTGGCTTATCTGCATAACATTTCCAAGAAATAAGCAAGATGCTGTCACTCGAGCTAACTAGACTACATAAACACTAGAGCTTCCTGCATTGTGTCCTTGCCATCCGCTACATGTACACTTTATAAAATCACCTGATATTTAAAGCCGACTAAATCAACACAACTATCCTGCGTATGATGAGGTGCGCTCCAACTAGAAATAGGAACAATTATTTATAGTTCGCAATCCTATTTCGCATGCAATGGCGTACGTCCGTGCTGTCAGGTTACACGACATTTCCATTTAGTCTACCTAACGTTCTATTTCCCTTCTCTTCAGGTTAGGACAGGGAATAGTGGAAATTTTCGAAAGTTGAAGTGTTGCCTCTCTTTTTCTTTTTGGAAACTTTTAGATATGTGCAATTATGCGGTGGACTGGCATCCATACCTCAAATTGCACTGTTTTCTAGCCTCACCTCAAATGCACTGCGTTCTACTAGAAAGCAGTGCAATTTGAGGTGCGGCTGTTGGATATAATGAAGCTGCAAGAAGCGCCTAAACTCATCTTGGTTAATTATGTGCCTTTCAAAAAAACACTTTTAACATTTTGTTAGAACTGTGAAATGAAGATTATTATTATTACAATTTAGTACCAGAGCACAAAGGACAAGGGTCAAAGTTGTGTCCCTACCATTCAAATGGCCCATGCTTGTGCACAGTGCTAGTATCGTACCATGCAAAGCTAGATTTCAGGTTCTTGATACAGTGGTACTCTTACCCATGAAATCATTGCCAGAATCTCTCAGCCTGTGCAACAGGTGATGGTACTGACCAAAATGGTGACGTGCCTTCAACAGTTTTCTGTCCCACAAACTTTTTTCGTCCTGAAAGGCGTTGATGCTGCTGCTGCTGCTGCTGTTGAAGCCGCAGTAGCTCCAGCTGTGCCCGTGCCAGCTTCAATTTCCGTAGCCGGTCCATGTCAGATCGGAACAACTAAAATAGAAGAAAACGACTCTTCAAAACTCGTTTTTTGTTGCTTGTTCTAATCGACACGATGAGAGAAAAAAAGATTTGTAGCTTGCCACAAAGTGGTATCATCCAACCTGCCTCATCACAGGAGCCTGCATCTCAGTCCAGTTTCTCCATTATTTGATGTTTTTGTTTTGTTTTGTATAAAATCTGCACACGGAAGATTGAAAGTGTGTGTGTTTGTGTTTGCGCCCATTTTCTCACATTCTTTTTCTACTGTGCAGGTTCTCTTCCTCGGCTGCATCTTTGGTTACCTGGTCTTCATGATCTTCTTCAAGTGGATTGGCGTCGACTCCTCTTTCCGCAGCGCAACCGGAGGAGTAAGTGTGCTATTACGACAGGCTCTTACCGTGCAACCTTCTTGAAGTATTCTTTGGAGTTTGATTCTCATCTGCACACAGTGGAGTGGTGAAGCGTGTGTTGAGCAACTACCTCAGTGTGCCCAGAAAACAACCAGCTGTATTGGAGGGATGGTCCGGCTCTTTCCACTCTCTACATCAGTCTGAATGCACATTGGAACTATGGTCTATTGGCTGAGAGAATAGACCTCCGTGGTTGTATCAAGTGTTGCTGTCCAAGCTGCAATTACTGTAACGTTATTTGTGTGTGCGTGCGCTTATCAGTTGCACTCCGCACATTGACGGTCATGCTGATGTGATCGATTTCGCATCAATGTTGGTCAGTAGTGGACGTGATATTTCTTGTCAGCATCTGACTACCCACTGTTCTTGCTTGTGTATCTAGGCACCAAGTCTACTGATCATGTTGATCAACATGTTCCTGTCCTTCGGCAATGTTTCTGAAGCGGAGAAGTTCTACTCTGGTCAAGTAAGCACCGTAGACTACAGTTGCTCTCTGCACTCGCTCTGGTATCTGCGCTCAAAATAGTTGTCTCTGCATGTATGACACCTGATGATTGCCTCCTGAGATGGCATGAAACTTGAAGTTGTCGACTAATCGGGTCAACCGTTAATTTTTCTAGTGTGTGTGTGTGAAGCACATGTACATGTATATGTATAGCTTGACACTTACTCTTTAGTGGGGGGGGGGGGGTAATGTCTGTCCACTGCTTCTTATGATGGTATATTATTATATCGACACTAATGCTCACCTTTGGTACATGCCGTCTATGTATTTACCAGGCTGGTGTCCAGTCCGTCTTGGTCATTGTCGCTCTCATCGCTGTGCCGTGGATGTTGCTGTCCAAACCTCTTATCCTGTATCTTCGTCAGAGGAAAGCACGTCAGGTATGCCAGCCAACTCATTCTGATACTAGCAGCTTTTGCAGTGTTACTGTGTGGGATTCTGTGCTGCCTTCCTGAAGAAGACATACACTTCAGCTGCTGTAAACTATGCTTTATGTGCCGGTACTGGTCAAGATATGAAGACCAAAAGATTGAAACCTGGGTTTGTTGTGTTGGGTCGGATGCCTACCTTTGGTGTTCGTAGAGTTCAGGGGCTTGGTTTGTTTATAAGGATCCAACTTGCTTTTCAGACTGGATAGTGTACACACGTTCATTTTGTCTGCATTATTATATTTTCATTCTGGTCCCTCTTCTTCATAGGTTTGAGCATGAGTACATAACCAAGAGGGTTCAGCTTCTATCTTGAGCTGTAATGGACTCGCCCACGGCCGATTTTTTTATTGCATCATTTTCGGCCCAAGCGTAGCTAGAGTGTGCACATTCTGGGCACATTTGATCTCTGCATAATGACATCAGTGAGTCAAATGGCCGCGAACGACTGATGGCATAAACGAATTTGCCTTGGGCGCAGGGATTGTCAAGTTGCGCACTCTTGGTTACCGGTATGTTGGTTTGAGAGAATGAAAAGAGGAAAATTTTGAAGTCGGAGGAAAACATAGACTTTTACCACCAGGGCTCGAACCAAGGAACTTCGCTATAGGTCAGAGATGGTCTGCCACTAATCGTCCTTTTTTTTCTTGTTGCCTTCAGACGTACTCTCCGTTCGACTCTAACAGCATCCAAGATGACGGTCAGGATGTTCAGCATGTGGAGTCTGCTCCCAAAGAGAGCCAGGTTTGTTCCTTTTTTTAACCCTTTACCGACGGAACTCAATGTATACAGAGAATTGTGCCCTCTCGCCTTTTTAAAATCTTGAATTGGACGTAACATTGGTTTCCCTTGGACAATTGTCATCATCTTGGGCATCCTGCCGAGAGGAACACTATGAACTCAAACTCGATTCCATGAGATGCGCTGGACCAGCGCTGCAAGTCAGCTAAGGTGTTCAGCACTGGGCTTGCGCTCTCGATCGATCTCCATCAATCATTTCACTCTCCTTGCTCGTATGAAGCTCGATTGTGTACCTGCGGGAGTCTCTGTTTGAATTTGAATGAGTGTATCCTTGCCAACAGCTTATGTGTTCAGGAAAATATCTGGCCCTTTAGTCATGCATGCGCCCTGAGCAAATTACCCATGTCGGAAGTTACCAGCATCGTAGCTACGAACCGCTTCTCCTATCACTTTTAAAGCCAATGTTCGAAACAACAGCTGAGAGCTGTCTCTGCGATCCACACAATTCGTTTTCTCCAAACTACTGAGAATTGACCAAGAAGTCTGAAGAAAACGTTGAACGGTCTCTGCTGAGATGACAACTACACCATAGCTCAGCGGTTAGAGCATCGCTGGCTACAAGCGAGGGTCCCTGGTTCGAGTCCTGGTGGTGTCAGTCAATATTTTCTTCAGACTTTTCCCGTTTGTGTCTTTCCCTCAAACCGGTGAATTGACCAAGCGACGATACATAGTTCGTTTGAAATTGTTGAATTTTTGTGATCATCCGTGATCGATAAATGTATGACCCGTCAGCAATGGGTCAATGTCGGTAGTGGTAGTGGTAGTTGAACACACAGACCAAATTTGTGTTCTGCTGTTTCCGCCTCTCCTGCTCGTCGTCTATCTTATGCTTTGCTTCTCGCTCCCTTTTGTCTGCGTACTATGAACAGAGCAGCATGGGCGACATCTTCGTGCACCAGGCCATCCACACCATTGAGTTCTGCCTGGGCTGCATTTCCAACACAGCGTCCTACCTGCGTCTCTGGGCTCTCAGTCTGGCCCATGCCCGTAAGTGACACATTGGGACTCTAGTGGTACTTGCCTTGGGCCTTTGGCTCTCAGAGCATGTGGCATGCAGTTGGGTGCTTCTGATTCTTACTGATACAATACTATTATGGTCTTCTCCAACTTTCAGCTCTCTGTCTTTTGTAGAAGTCTCATAGTGCTCTCAGGAAATATCATTGCTATATTACTGATCTTTGTGTGTATATGTGTGTGTCTTTTTTTTTACTGTTTTGTATCTGTCTGTGATCTGTGTGTGACTCAGAGCTGTCCGAGGTTATCTGGAACATGGGCTTGCGAATGGGACTGAGTGCGTTGGGTGGCAGTGGCAGTATAATGCTCTTCTGCATCTTCGCCATGTGGGCAGGTAGGATAATGATTAATGAGCATTGTCTCCAGCTATTTTGCTGCTGCTGTTGTGTACTGATGCCATGTAGCTGATGGAGAGTAGAGCAATGGTGGCTGAAGGTGGATTACGTAGACCTTGTCACTGAGGTGATCTTCGTGTGCTTCGCATGTAGCCATACAAGCTAAAGAGAGCTGTCTGGCCAGTTCTGAGACCTTGGTTCAAATTGATGGGGTACTCTACTGCACATCTGTGCGTGCTGTCTCTCCCAGCAAAGTTATGTTAATGTGCACACAGTGCTTGGTTTTCACTGTAATTCAATATTACGTAACAAGTTAATAGCTTCTTTATCTCCTTCATCGGTTATTGCTTCTGGTGAACTCCATTGTGTCGATATTTGCTCCCCGAAAATGCTCTAAAAGCAATTCATATGTGCGTGTTCTTGTACAGCTGAGACCATTGCCATTCTGCTGATTATGGAGGGTCTTTCAGCATTCTTGCACGCCCTCCGTCTTCACTGGTAAGGTTGTGTAGGTGTCTCTGTATGCCGGTAGTGGAATGCGTTTCCCTTGTCTTGTTCGTTCAGACAGCCTTAGATTAAGTGCATTCAGTGTGCTGGATATGCATTACAGAACACTGCCTCCTCCTCCTGTATGATCTGTGCACATTCAATCTCCCGACAGCTAGCTGTTTCGACCTTCGTCTCCTCAGCGGAGCTCAGAGTTACAGGCCGAACCTATTGCAATAAAGTCTAATGAAAAACAAAGCATCAAAAATCAGAGTGCTCTAACTGTGCTAAATACAGCGAGCTTTGCATGTAGTTGATGACCTTCACAAAGTGGAAAGTCAACCCCAAGAATACAGCCATGGGAAGGTTGAGAGACGGTGGCAATGTAAACCTATAGTCTGTTTCAAAAAGATTAGCAATCAGGTTTTGGTCTTAAAAAGTATGAAGATAAGGGAAAATTGGACAACGAAGTACATAAAAGGGCTGGTTAGGGCACGGCAAATTGTTCTGTGAAAGTTTCGGAACAATTGGACCAGCCGTTAAGGAGTTAGAATTTCGGCCAGGTTTCCGGCCTTTTCCCATGGTTTGCAATTTGCCCTGGAAGCCAGTATCGATTTTTCTATCAAAACCCACGATTTATCTTTTCCTTTCTGGCCTTGTGGTTATGGATGCTGTCTGCTGACCATGAAGTTGTGAGTTCAAATCCCAACCTATCTTCAACTCACACTTTTTTTCATTGTTTTTTTGGTGATCAAGCAGACTTGTCATGTTGTTGTTCACGATTGTTGTTGTTGGAGCTCCCGCTTCCTCCCGAATTGACTGACACTTGACTGGCTCACGCCATGTGAACACACCCACAACACTGAAACGGTGTGAGTGAATACGGAAGTCATTGCGCTGTAGCTACGTGTTGAATACACCGGCACATCGATCGATCGATTTCTTTTTGAGAATTATTTTAGTATTTCAAGATCGCCAATTTATTTGAATTAAAGTCAACGCCGTCTTCTATCAGCTTCCACAGGCGTCTGCTTTTCTCAAAATGTTGTCGAAGTCATACGGATAGCTTCGCCAAGTCATGGCCTTGGGAATGAGTCTGTGTCGATGTCGTTCTCGTCACATGGTGAGAGTAAATTGCATCGCAGCTCAAAGAAACTATTTGGTCACAAAACATATTGGGACCCATGCCGCTCGTCAGCCTTGGCATTTACTACACCTTCGACATGTCCTCTCTGACTCCATAATCGATACGAGGAAGAACTCGTTTGTTGTGAACCAGACGTACACGACTGTACCGACATGGACCTGAGTGAGTTGTCATTTTTCATGCTTTCGCGCGGAATATTTCTTCGAGTTCACAGTGAGTTTTTCTAGGCAGCGCTCGAGCGCTCATACGGTAAGACGGCAAACTCCCCGGGCGATCACCAGGATTGCTAATCTTTTTGAAACTGACTGTAGGTGTATGGTGAATTTGGGGTTGCTGCTGGTCACGTTTCACGAGGAGATTGCACTTCATTAAAAAATATCGATCCCCTGCATAAATGTGTGTATGTTCGTTTTGAGGGGGGGGGGGGGTTCTGGGGAGATATGAACAAGTATCGTCTTTATATCGATATTTACGGACGGCCCTAAACCAGAATGAGTGCGCAACCAAGACGAGGGAGTTGTGCATACGCAGGCTCGCAGATAACACAGTGAATTGAGGCATTCGTTCGTTGGTGCAGCCGCACGCACACTAGTTCTTTTAAAATATGCATTCTTTTCTCCATTGTGCAGGGTGGAGTTCAACAACAAGTTCTACAAGGGAGAAGGCTACATGTTCCAGCCATTCTCCTTCGCCAAGATTCTCGATGAGTCGAATGCCTAATCCAGCATGAATCTCCTAATAATCCTAAAGCATGCACTCTTGCATTGGCCTTTTTCCACAATGCCATCATTTTGCCTTGATTTCCTTGAACTTGCTGATGGTATTTTCTTGTTACCAGGCTGTGGTTCTAGTTTTCCTCTGTGTTTTCCTCTGCGCTTTTTCGCCTGGCTGTATCTTTGTTGGTGTGCTTTGAAGAGGTTGTCACTCTTACCCGTGCACTCTGCTGCGCTTCGTTTCAACTTGCAGCATGTCATGTGTGTTCTGGAACTAATGCCTTGTTATACAATGTGTGTGTGTGTGTGTGTGTGTGTGTGTGTGTGTGTGTGTGTCCTTGTTACACGTATTAGAGAGGATTCGGGCGCCGGTTTTTTGGAATGACGTGAAATTTGGCGCCGGAAATGGCGTTAAATGTTGAATTTGAACGTGATTCGCATTCCGCTCGTGTTGGAAGCCAACGTGAGTTTTACCCAAATTTAGGCAGGATGTGTTATCGTTTCACATCAAAGTTTTCCGACAGAGAGACAGTATGTTACAATTAATTCGGACAGATTTTCAATTTCCCACCTCAACTGAGCCCTGTTGCTGCACACACGAAACCTGCTGAACCTGAACGTGAGCCGGCTTTGGTGTTCATGCTGAAAAGTTGTCGTGCGAAACCTCCCTTATGGGGTATTCACACGACAGGCAAATCCACGTGAACCGGAAAGTTGCTATGGTATTTTACCTGTGAACGAGAAAAGTTGCTGAAAAGTGCAAGCGAGCTGGGGGCCCACTTTCACGATAATCGTGGCGTGCACGAGTACATTTACACCAAAAAGCGCGAAACAAGACTTGATTTTTTACGCGGCTCTTTAGAACATGATACATGTAATTATTGTATGTGTGTTTTGAAATTTTGAATTACCCATGGCTACTGGTCGGTGAAGCATTCAAAAATGCAAACGTGCCTGTCGTCAAGTGCAGCTGTGTGAATCCACACAGTCACTTTTCTCGTATGTCACTCCCTTCAACTTTCCGGTGCACGTGGATTTGCCTGTCGTGTGAATACCCCATAATATGCCAAGAGTACATACACTTGAGAGGAATCAAAAGCGTTTCTGCTGTAACTCTGAGTTTCACGGTTTTAACCAGGGAGTAGTACAATACCGGTATTGTACTACTCCCTGGTTTTAACGGATCATCTGCAGTTGTGTACTAGGCTCTGCACCTTGGTGTTTTGAGCACTGTCACGAGCAACCACAACTCCCTCTGAGTTTGCCAAGAGTACATAAATACTTTCCAGACACTTGGTAAATACTTTCCAGGTACCGTGGCTCTTGATCATATAGCCTCCCAGCCCCGCATCTATTCTTGGACTGGCAAAATGTGCGGTCTTGCATACAGTAGAGTCGCATGCCCAAAAACGTTGCAAGTTTCCAAGTAAACAGGCTGTTAGCAAGGGACTTCCTTTTTTCAACAATCTAGTAGCGTTCTTATAGCATGTTCTTAGAGACGATTTGTGATGAATCTGATGCATTCCAGAAGCTACCAGAAAACCAACACCGCCGTTCTTAAGACTCCACTGTATTGAGTTTGCTTCTTTGTACACAAGCCGCTCTGTATGATCTTTGTACACAAGCCGCTCTGTATGATCTTTGTACACAAGCCGCTCTGTATGATCTTTGTACACAAGCCGCTCTGTATGATCTTTGTATACAAGCCGCTCTGTATGATCTTTGGTCGTGCTCAGTACACCTACAATAATTATTGTACTGTACTTTGTAGTTCTCAGGCTAGTCCGCGCCGGGGCCCATGGTGCCGGGTACACATTCATGTACATCAGATTCAGAGAGCCAGGTACGACTCCCTGAGGGTTCTAGGCAAGGGGGGGGGGGAGGAGGGGCGCAGCGCCCGCGCCTACAGGCTACTCTCTGATTGCGCCCCCACTCTGATAACGCGCTGCCCTACTCGTCGATTTTTGTGTTTTCAGTTTACACAAGGAAAATGCGGCCACACTCGACTATTCCGGGTACTCAATGCACCTGTGTGTTGCATTTTGTGTGACAATAGTGGAACATGGAAAAATGGGTGAACTGTTTGTTTCCAGATGCCCCCCCCCCCCCCCATTCAATATTTTCCTGGCTAGATTCATGCGGTGTTTTATAATGCTGTATTATACTAGTACACTCCTGTAGGAATTTCTAGCCGGTCAGACAATTTTCCTGTTGTAACTTTGCCGGTATTGTATAAACTTTTTTTAAAGCGCTGCTTGTGCTGATTTGTGGCGGCACTCTTGCAGCATACAGTACTTCTACGCTGCTTTCCCTGACAGTTCTATCAACATCTCAGAATCCATTTACCACTCAGCAGTACTACTCAGCAGAACCGTCACAAATCCTATCGATATAGGATCTGCCAACATCGTCCTCACTAAAATGTCTCTACAGGTCGAGCGAAGATACGGACACTCTTGAAAACTTCTGAATAGAGCCAACTGATGCTGCCCATCCACCTTACAGTGCAATTTAGGCAAACTACCACAAGTAGTTGTTTGGCTAAAGTTGTTTGCCTAAATTGCACTGAAGGTATTTGGACAGCATCAGGTGGCTCAGGCTTTGTGGTATGATTTTTAAGAACTTTGAAGCTCCATTGTAGCCGTGTCATCTTTTACTCCACCTCCAATCTGCAACACACGGACCATCCTTGGCTACACCACGTACAGCAATTATTGTTTCCAAATGTTCACCCAGGAGGACATCCGATCAGGGAAATTTTGCTCTTTATATTGACTACCCACATGATCAAGAGTACTTTTGACATGATCAGTAGACCATAATTATGACTGTTGGGTGTGATGAATAGAATTTTGTTTGTTCGCCAAATCGATGTTCGAGGGAATATTCGTTCGAAGAAAACACCATTTGATGCATCTGACCGGTATATTGTAACTCTGAGGGGTGATGTACTCTTGGTAGCAACTCATCCCGCCGATCTAGGGGGTTTCTTGCCTTCTAATGTGTCAGGGTTCTAGCCAGGTCAAATAAGGGGGGGGGGGGGGAGGGCAGGGGAGACACTTACCCCGTAACCCATTTTCCATCTTTCAAAAATTGTCTTGCCATGGAAAAATGAAACGTATGGGGCGAACCCCTGACTTCATCCCAGACAAAGTGCAATTCTGAACCCTCTACATTGTAGTACAGGTCGTCCCCCGTTAATACGAGTCCGGTTAGTACATAAACCCCGTTAGTACATAAGAAATCTCAAGTCCCGGACGAAACGTGGTCACTTCCATACAAATTTTGTCGGTTAGTACATAATTCGTTAGTACATAAACCCCGTTAGTACATAACATTTCTCCGTACCCGCATGCCACCTACCTCAATAGTACATAATTTGTTGTTCTTTTGGCCTTCCAGTGGAGGCACATCGTGTTCTAGTTTCTACTTGTGGACGCAATTAGCTCAGAAATCAGAGCGCACATCAAAAACCGACAAAGCTCTGTTGTTTTTTCGAGTGACTACAGGCGCCGCTGGGCATGTATCATGTCAACTGTAGAATCTTCGCTGACTGTGACCGTTATAACATAATTTTTATGTTATATCGAGGGAATCAAGAATATCTCGCTCCCTAGTCATGGCAGCAAGAAATACTCAGAAAAATTGAAAAAAGTGAAAAATTCTGGTATACAAGCAAGTTATGTACACTGTCGTTTAGTACATAAACCCCGTTAATACATAACATTTGTCAAGTCCCAGAGATTATGTATTAACGAGGGACGACCTGTACATTGTAGTACATTGTAGTTTTTATTTTTTATTTTTTTTTATACTAAAAATGTTTGGCACCTATGATCAGGGGATGGCCCACGCCTGGTAAAAAAAGTAAGTAATTAAAAAAAATTAAAAATAAGAGGTACTGTGTTCCGGCTCTCCGCCTTCTCCGCGAACATAAGAGAACATAAGAGAGTAAAATAAAAGTTAATAATAATAATAATAACTAGAGGAGAACAAACAAACACAAGAAGCAAGAATGACACGAAAAGCAGAAATTATGAGAACATGGTATAAATGAGCACGGCCATCAACCTCAACAGGGGATAGCCGCCTCGGCAACAACAAGAGCAGCTGAGTCCGCGGCAAAGACCGGTGCATAGAGCCGCCTAGCACCCCTCAGGCACATCACACTGGATCGGACCAAGGCAAAGCTGATTTGACACCGGATCGAAGCCATCACGGCACTGTAGGCCTCCCCGGTCTTGTCGGCGATGAGGGACGCTATCCTCTTGTACAGAGAGGTGGCAGATTTCCCCATGCCTCCCGTAGTGGAGAACACGGCGGGAACAAAGCTGGAGTGTTCCACTTCTCGGATTCTCTGCTCATAGGCACGGCGCTTGGCTTTTTCGTGACGGGTGTAGCTAGCAGCAAGTGAGTTGAGGCGATTCGAGGACGCAAAAGGGTTAAACACCCGGACATCAATGTAGGTGCGCTCGAACCGCCCTCCCCAAATACCACTAGCCACCACGTCAAGGCGGGCTTGGTCGTCGCCCACAGCAGTACGGTACCGGAGCTGCTCTCCAGTGAGTGGCTGCAAATGTGGCTCAATAGCCACCTGGTGGCCAACACGCTTCGCAAGGCGAGCTGTCACGTCGCGTACCTCGTTGTGGCGGAGGGTTGGGAAACCGCCAACGGGCAGGAGAGGGCATGGCTGACGGTGAACTGCTGTCCACAGGAACATGATGTTGGCAGTACATTGTAGTACATTGTAGTTTTTTTTTTTGCGGAGGATTGAAAACAAATCACATAATGATGACGTCGCATGTGATCAGACAGCAAGAGAAGCATAGCATACTGTAGTCCGCACAATCACGGGGCAAGGCTCAACGGGACACCCTAGCCTCCACGACAGCCAGGGAGGCACAGCCATCCATTGGAGGCTGCCAAACTCGGCGAGCCCCACGCAGACACATGACACTCGAACGCAGCAGGGCGAAAGACAGCCTGCAGCGGAGGTGGGCAATTAGCACAGAATACGCCTCCCTCCCACGTAGCGACTGGAGATATGCAATCCGGCTCACCAGTGCAGCGGCACCCTTGCCGCATCCTCCGGTGGAAGAGAGCACAAAGGGGAGAAAAGTGGATCGCTCCACTTCTCGGACTCTCCGATCATATCGACGCCGTTTCTCCTGCTCATGGTGCCGGTAGCAGCCAGAGAGAGAGAGGAGGTGCGGTTCGAAGACGCATAAGGGTTGAACACCCGTACATCAATAAAAGTGCGTTCGAACCGACCCCCCCAAACTCCACTGGCCACCACA